CCACCACCTGGCCGTCATCAAGGCAGCCTGGCCGCCACCGTGTGAGGAAGGAGCACCACACGTCCGCCCTACACAGCACCACCTGGCCGCCACCGTGTCAGGAAGGAGCACCACACGTCCGCCCTACACACCACCACCTGGCCCCCCACCGTGTCAGGAAGGAGCACCACACGTCCGCCCTACACACCACCACCTGGCCCCCCACCGTGTCAGGAAGGAGCACCACCTGGCCGCCCTACACATCACCACCTGGCCGCCACCGCGTGAGGAAGGAGCACCACACATCCGCCCTATACAGCACCACCTGGCCGTCATCAAGGCAGCCTGGCCGCCACTGCGTGAGGAAGGAGCACCACACGTCCGCCCTACATATCTTCACACAACGATCATAGAGTAAAATAATGTCAAGACTATTACCAAATGTTCTCGGTGAGTGTTGACATCCACCGCGGATCAGCAAGGAGATGGGGCGGGGTTTTATATACACGGATTTTGAAAGTGTTTGCTTGCTGAATTTTATAGAATTGTACTTTAAGTATATAAACGGATTTGGATTAAATTGTCAAACTGGAAGATCCAGTAGAATCTATAAAAATATTATTTTCACATTATAACATGGAGACAAGAACTGGCTGGGCTAATTAAGGGGAGACATATGTTCCTAACGTATAAAACCTCACCTTAAGGTTGCTATAATATATATGCTATAATATATATGCTACAGTATATAGACGGACACTTGTGCTGTCTCGTCTTGAGTACTGCTCAGTATTCACTTCCCCCCTTTCAGAGCAAGAGAGCTTGCTGAAATAGAGGGAGTACAGAGAACATATACGGCATACATAGACGCGATAAAGCACTTAATTATTGGGGTCGTCTCAAAGCTCTTCAAATGTACTCACTAGAAAGGAGACGATAGAGATATCAAATAATATACACGTGGAAAATACTGGGGCGCCAGGTCCCAAATCTACACAGTAAAATAACAACACAACGGAGTGAATGATATATCGGAAAATCCAGAATAAAACCAGTGAAGAGCAGGGAGGTGCCATAAGCACAATCAGAGAACCCTGAATAAACATCAGAGGTCCACGGTTGTTCAACATCCTCCCAGCGAGTATAAGAAATATTGCCGGAACAACCGTGGACACTTCCAAGAGAAAACTAGGTAGTTTTCTTCAAGAAGTTCCGGGCTGTGGTGGGTATGTGAGCGCCTGCGGGTCGCTCCAAGCAAAGCTTGTTGGACCAAGCTCTCACAAGTTTTGGGGAGTAGAAGAACTCTCAAAACCCCATCAAGCAGGTATATACATGTCCATGACATCAATCCAGGTTCCCTGTCAACCATCCCTTCATACACCTATGTATCCCCAACGGGACTCTTAGTACGATTTGGTACTATTCACCTTTTTTTTCCGGAAAAAATTCAACTAATAAGTTTAAATATCCAAAGGCCTATTATGCATATTTATGTACTATACTGTATTAGGCCTTAGATAGTGCGTATTAGGCCTATTATTGTTATGGTAGGTAATAGGTTTTATTAGCAACTTAAATACAAAATCTTTTCGGTTTATCCAGATTTAATAGTACCAAATTCTACTTTTCTAATTGTCCATTACGTCTAAATATATACAATGGTCCACAGTTACAAGGAGTACAATCTAAGCAGGAAGATGGGTTACACTCTTTGCGAAGAGTTTATGCACGCTTTCTCTTTCTTTTTGGCTGTCCAACAATCATAAAAAGATTATCAAGAGACCCTCAGTTCATATACCAATATATATATAATATTATTTTTTGATAAATGTGAATATATTCTTACAGTAAAGACTGCTTTATTCTTGTTCACTTTAAAAATAAATATTTCCATCGTTACCAAATAATATATATTACTCACATACTTTGTTTCTAATTACATTTCCAAACTAGTTGTTGCTCTACTATACATATGTTTTTTTGTCAAACTACACAATAAAATTACAAGAAAAAGTACGTTCTAACCGTAATATGTTCACTGGAAATCCAAAGTATATCTTTACATGTTCGCGAGTGTAACTTGATCATGGGAGAAGTAAGATTTTCTCGCGATAAATACTGTGTTGAGAAAGATAGAGAAGTCCAAGAACATCCTTGACACTACAGCAGCGAGCAGGTATATAAGGCGTCCGCTGCCTCCCACCAAGTACTTCCACTCCTGCTAAGGTAAGTGTTGGACTGAAGCTGCGAGCAGCGGCCTCTTCACTCCTCAGTGTTTTGAACGTTACAATTATCTCTCAGGAGACGCCGTTCTCTTACTGGTTCATCCTATGGTGATATATTGAAGTGTTCACAACACGTCTCTCCCGTGTGACACTGTACTTGTGATGAGCTGGGTTTTGATCAACATTTCCATTATACTGTACAGACAGAACACCTCCATCGTGTCCAGTACGCCAGTATAATTTTATATACCAATATATATATATAATAATATTTATACTGTATTATATTTTATACACGGTTATCCTAGGTGTATAATCATCAGTATATTCACCTTTTGTCAAACAGGCCAACATGTTTAGCTCATGGCAAGCAACATAAAATAGTGACATTTAGGCGACGATAGTGATAACGATGGGGGGTAATGCACCAAAATATTATGGTGCTCAAAATGGTGCTTAGCTTGAAAATGTTGTTGACACGAGTTACTAAAGCAGTAATGTATAATATGAAATAGCGCTGTTAATGTAGTAACAAAGTATCAGTACTCATAATGTCTTTCCTTTCAGCAATTTTTGGTAAGTGTTAAACCAGTCATTTGATAGAATTTCCCTGTCATCATACCTAGTGGCTTCGACGAGAACAGAAGCCCCAGGCTTGTACAAGGTCCCTATACATTTTCCTGGGAATGTACAGGCTTTACCGATAATAATTCCCTCTCCAGATGAAGGTCGTGGTGTTGCTCAGTGTGGTGGTGGCGGTGAGCAGTGAGCTTCCCCCAACACCCTTCAACCGCTTTCCCTCTCAATCATTCCACCGCCGTCCCCCTCAATCATTCCACCGCCGTCCCTCTCAGTCATTCCAAAGGCCATCCTTCGGTGGCGGCTTCCCATCTCCACCCAGACCAGCTCCTCGGCCTATTCCATCTAACGTCCCGGTGAGTCTCATTCACATTCTATTTTACATTATATTCGATTAACATTATTCCCTACATAAATAGCACTGTTAAACTATTAATATGTGTAGATTAGATGCGAATATTTTTTAAAATTTTCACTATTTCCACACAACTTGTCGGTATTTTTTAAGGAATTTTTCATACAATTGAATACAAATTAAAATCAAATGATAACTATGACCCTAAAATACAACATTTGCACCTGTAGGTTGACGAGACCTTGGACCGCAGTCAGTACTACTTCTCTTGGAGACACGACAATGGAAGGAAGTACACTGGCGATCAAGCCCATAGTGTGTGCACAAGACTGGGCGGCGGGTGGCAGCCTATTGGCATCAGTTCCAGGGAAGAGATCGAATTAGTCATTAGAGCTGTCGGCAGAGGTTAGCTATTCCAATGTCTTTTCCTTAATTTAGATATATATTATGTTTTACCTGTAAATCACCTTGTATTTCGTATTGTGGAAGACTACGTTGATACGAGTCAAAGTATTAAGTGCTTAGCTCAGTTGACGACCAAGCCAGTGAATACCTGTCCTTCATCTGTCACCATTTTTTAAGAACAAACTGGAAACTTACGCTTGTTATCGTAATAGGGATTTTACTTCAATTTTTTAACTTGAATAAGAGTTCTTCAGTTTTCATTGTTGTGCCCGACATTAGGGGTTTAGTTCTAATACCTTCACAAGAACGTAATGATCACGGCTTACAAGAACTTTGCAAGCATGTGAACCTTTGTTGTGGCTGCGTCTCTCATTCTCGAAGTGCTGTTTTTTTCTATTTTTTACGTTTCTTTATCTCTGAAAATGCTAAAATTAATATATTCATATTTACTCATGAAACTATATCTTAGCTACGTTTTAACTATATTTTATGTTTACCAGACAACGTGGAGTACATCTGGACTGGTGGTGTGAGGTCGGGCAGAGGATTTGTATGGCTGAATGGCGAGCCTTTCACTGTTGATGACTGGTCACACACAGGAGGGTAAGTCTTATTATACTCACACGTGAACACAAGCATGGATATGTGCAAACAAATATTATAGAAAATGACCATTTAGGTGCGAAAAAAAATCTACAGTCAATTCAGGCACACAAATTATATTCATGAGAGAATATTACACAAACACACATGTACTTATTGCGTATGTATTATATCCTATTGTTACAGATTCCGCATACCTCAGCCCGATAACAGAGAGGATGGGATCGAGAACTGTCTGTCCGTCCTGAACAACTTCTACGGTGATGGCATCAAGTGGCACGACGTGGCCTGTCACCACCTGAAGCCCGTCATCTGCGAGAAGCACATATAACTGTCTCTCCTCTCACACACTCCAACATGCCCGTCATCGGAGATCGTGTGGGAGTGTGACTTCCTCCTGTGTTACAGTCACTGCAGGAAGATCAATGTCTGAGAATATAAAGTACGTCGTCTACAGAAACAAAACACCGCTATGCACATGAATATTTTCTTCTCTGGCTTTCAAATAATTTTAAATATTTATTTATTGTGAATATAAATTTCAGTTTTCATAAGAGTTACATAGGCAATAAAATATTAGCAGTCTGTTATGTTTACATTATTGCTCCTTTGTTCCGTTGTTACGATGTCTGCGATTTACATTTATGCATTTACGTTTCCACTTGTTACATCTTTCCTCAATTTTAGGCTTATTTTGCACTTCTTAAACAGTTTACATGTCCCCATTCCTCCATACTCATCCCTGATCTTCCCAGTCAGTCGCGATCACGTGTCCCAACCTGCCACTGGAACACTAACCTGTCAGTGGGACACTTATCTGTGCGTATCACTAACCTGTAGTGATACGCACTGATAGTGGCACACAGTGTCGCGTGCTACAAAGAGACACATGTTATACGTACTGGAGAGAGAGCGAGCAATAAGCGAGTTATTGTCGAATAGGTCATCGACTATCGTCTATAACAATAACCAGGTAACTAAGCACTGGACACGAATCTACCTTCATTCCGTTTAAGCGGAATTAGTTTATGCTGTAACTAGTTCGCCTGTATCGAGTTACAAAATTGCTGTCACATAAAGGCTTCAGTCGCCATCCTGCTACTGTGTTTGATAAAGTCAAACTAGTTAATTATTGTTTAGCTGGGAGCAGCTTTACTGTTCCCAGCTAAACAGTAATTAACTAACATACAATAATAGCTCACCTCTTTCTAACCAATTGTCCCCTTATTAGGGGTCACGTAACAGTGTGTTCAGATGCAAACTGTAGGGAGTTCCATCGAAGTTAACAGTCGCATGTTACAGTAACGTTTTACCTTTACATCTTCTTGCGAACTTTATTTTCCCCTACAACATTAGGTACATGCTGTCGCTTCTCACACCAGTTAGGATATCGTATCATCCCAGGTGGGTTAGTCTACGTAAAAGCAGAGATTTCTATATTTCACTTTTCTGACACCTTTTTTTTTCTCGGGGCAAAGTTCTGGTTACCCGCCAATTTACTGTTATTCTTTTACAGTTTTCTTGTTTATGTGATCTTGCTAAAAGTGTCACAAATATTAACTCTAAAAGTCACAGGTTTCAGTTAAAGTTTATTACTAATATGCCTGCATCAACACACATTCTCTCAGAGTGATGCCTTTTATCTTTAGATATCAACATAACATTTTTAAAACTTATTTTTAGCGAGAATAATGTGTTAATACAATACAATACAATACAATACAATTTTATTTAGGTAAGGTACATACATACAATAAATATTTACAAGGATTGTTAACTTCTAGGTATAGCTAGTACATACAATGCCTAAAGCCACTATTACGCAAAGCGTTTCGGGCATGAACCCGAAACGCTAATATATGGAGATAATGGAAGCTCCATGTGTAATTTGAAGGGATGCCATGTTTAACTTTAAACTTATTCAGATAATAGATGTTGAAATGGGTCTTTGATAAATTCTAAACATGTTATGAAATCCAGATTCGCATATTCCCGTTGTTCAATTACGGGAAGTTCTCGCAAAATTCGCAGATCTATTGCATTATCATACCCACGATTTTCTTTTGCTAATCCAAACCAGAGTCTTGTACACCAGAGTCTTGTACAGTTTGCATTTTTTTTTATTATTATTATTTTCTACCACAGACGTGGCCAAACTTTACAATGCTAACTAGCATATATATACATTTTCTTCTGTCCTCCATGGGCAGGGTGAGAGATTTGTCAAACTTACAGTTCAGAGATTTCTTGAACAACCACAGAAGGTGATCGTAGTGCTTTTAAAATGTTAGGCTAAGCTACATACATATATACACAGATTTATGAATGGATTAATGTGAATTTATAATGGTGAAATGTAATTCTGATCAGCTACCACATATACTTTATACACATACACACACACATACACACACATATATTTGTCTCTTTTACCCTGACAGGGTGAGATAGCTGACAAAGAAACTAGTGTCCAATTAAGAACCTAACCACTGAAGGTGATTAAGATGCTTTTACAAGCTCAGGTTATATAGTTACGTTACATGGTTAATCTAGGGTACAAGTCCAATATATCATCAAGTGTTCCAGTACTCATATAGTAGTTAGAGTTCAGCATACCTCAGCCCAGGAGGGCGAAAGTCAGGCAATATGGAACATTCTACAATATAATGTTCAAGTGAGTGCATGTTTTCTCTTTCACAAAGTTGACACATTCTGTACTCGACATTTGGGTTTTGAGAGAGCTGCCAGATACGTCTATATCCCAGGCGTATTCTGGCAACTATGACATCACACTGAGGAGTTCTTGCTTTATTAGTCCCATATGTGAATGTCTCCTCACGATATCTATCATAATATTTAATGCTACAACTTTCTGGTCTTTGTGAATTTGTTAGGTCAGTGAGATCTTCATTAGGTATTTGTTTAAGTATTCTCTTTGTCACTGCTAGTGAAACACCCATATCAATTTCTACTACTGGTTTTCTACTGGCTGTCTTTGCAAGCATATTAACAGTGTCATGCCTTGAGATGCCAACATGTAATGGTATCCATAGGAATTTAATTTCAAATCTGCTTTCTTTAGCAGCTAAAACATCCATTCGAATATCACTGACTATTTGCTGGGTGTCACTACTATGTGCGTTCAGTGCCAGGAGTGCATTCTGCGAGTCACAATATACAAGTTTACTGTCCTTGTCTTATAAATTCAGTGGCAAGGTAGATGCCTGCAAGTTCGGTTTGAGTTGTACTTCATTAATCATTGACGTGCTTCATTGCTGTATGTACGAGATAGTTTGCAGTGTTAGGAACTCTTACAGGTGAATCTCAGTAAAAATAAAAAATACATATATTGGGGATGTTAACTTTTAGATTTGCACTTTATTAAAGCAATCTACGCAAGTCTTTATAATGTTAAGCAATAAATGCTTTCATTAAAAAGCCACCCTGCGAATTTCTGTAATTGTACACATTTGAGGAGAACATTCTTCACCCAAACGTCGCAAGTTTATTGTGTCAATTCAACACCACATTATCATGCTCACGCAAGTTCAAGCACGCTTATTGAGACAATAAAATATATATTTGAAAGGGATCGAGTAGCTTAGGCTATTTCTCCCCTCCTCTCCACGCTCACACATGTACAATTAAGGAACCGATTCTATAAACGCACAATTTACTGAAGGAAAAATCAGCTTTTACAATGATTGTGTTATTATGTGCGGCACCAACGAAGTACACAACTTTTCTGAGATTGATACAGCACTGTCAATTCGTTAAAAAAGAACACACAAATCAATTACATATCTTTCTCATACTTGCATCCGAGATATTTCTGAAAATTACCCCTCCCAAAGTCTAATAATGGGACTCATATATGCGTATTTTATATTTTGGTTAAAGTAGGCAACTTTTAAATAACTTGATATTAAGGCATTTTTAAAAAATGCACAATGCAGGCCCCGAGGTCTGATAATGCGACACGCTCGCAAGTTCTGTAGGCTAAATTCTCTCACAAACGAATTGAAATCTCAGCACCAAATAAACACCTTAATTCTGTTTACAGGAGTTGCGTGTACAATAATTTTCAGTCTTTAGAATCTTCGCACCTAAGTATTCGAGCCTAACAGGCCAGTGATCGGGTAATATAAGGTGTGTTATATTAATTACGTGTTCTGTCTTCTTGCTTCTGTGTTGGTTCGGGGTCTTGAAGTGGGTAGAATGTAATTGTGTGTTAATTGGCTGTGGATTGCTGGTTTTGACTTTTTAATGTGTAGGGTCTCGATGATGTCGAGTCTCTTGTTGTCGATGTATCTATCAATGATTTCCGTGTTGCTTGTTAAGATTTCTCTGGTGATAATCTGGTTGAGTGAGAATACATGCTCCTTGGAGCCCTGTTGTTTGTGCATTGTTAATCGCCTAGAGAGAGTCGTTGTTGTCTTGCCTATATACTGAGATCTTTGGGGCTGACAGTTCCAAAGTGGGCATGTGAAGGCATAGACGACGTTGGTCTCTTTTAAGGCATTCTGTTAGGTGTCTGGAGAGTTCTTCACGAGTAGGTTGGTCGTCGTCTTGCTTTTGTAGTAAATTTATCTTCTTATTTGTGTCTGTGGGGGATAACGTTCCTATTAATAATATCTTTCAGGAGTATATATATATATATATATATATATATATATATATATATATATATATATATATATATATATATATATATATATAATATATATATATATATAATATATATATATATAATATTTATATAAAATAACCTCAAAAATTAAATCGTCTCTGCTGCTCTTTGGTGAGATGATGTAATTATGTTGAATATATTTTTTTCTTCACCTTCAGGAAGGGTTATGCACACTTTCCTTATACCTGTGCAAGACTTTAAGGAAAAGTATCCAGAAAAGCCATGTTCCTAGTTCTGAGTAAATGTTCATATTTCTTGACTGCGTAAAGACTTTATATTTGAAGAATAAAGACGTTCATCATTAGCAAATCGTATGAAACACCCTCTACTTTATTTTCATAATTACATTTTCAGACAAATTGTTTCTGTAATATACACAAATGTTCTTGTCAAACTGCACTAGAAAATTACTAGGTAAAACATTGTAATCGTAAAAATGTAAAAGAAAAGAATGTTTAATTCTTAAACGTTCGTGCATGTGTCTTGATCATGGAAGAAGCAAGATTTTCTCGTTATACTGTGTTGAGGGAGAGGGAGGCGTCCAAGAACATCCTTGACACTACAGCAGCGAGCTGGTATATAAAGCGTCCGCTGCCTCCCACCAAGTACTTCCACTCCTGCTAAGGTAGGTGTTGGACAGAAGCTGCGAGCAGCGGCCTCCTCGCTCCTCAGTGTTTTGAACGTTATATCATTAATGTTGTTGACGAAATTATTAAAACAATAATATATGCTATCATTCCTAGTGGGCCTCGAAAGGAACAGGAAGCCGCAGGCTTGTAAGGGGTGTAAAAATTGTTCTTGAGGATTTACAGGCGTTACCAATTATATTTTCTACTCCAGATGAAGATCGTATTGGTGCTCAGTTTAGTGGCGGCGGTGAGCAGTGAGCTTCCCCCAACAACCTTCAACCAATTTTCCAATCGACCAGTCCACCGCCGTCCCCCACATTCATTCCAACGCCGTCCCGTTCAATCATTCCAAAGGCCATCCTTTGGTGGCGGCTTCCCAACTCAACCAAGGTTCCCGTCTCCACCCAGACCTGCTCCTCAGCCATCTAATGTCCCGGTGAGTTTTACTGAAGTTAAATTTTCCATTGTATTCGTTTAACCCTATAGCCTATAGGCCTAGTACTGTTAAATTGTTTTAACATATAGACTAGATGTGATTTTTTTTTAAATATTTTCACACATGTATCAATATATTCCATCATGTCTAAAACAAGAATTGCCTTCATGCAATTGTAAACAGATAAAAAACACAGGATAACTATGACCCTTAAATGCAACATTTGCACCTGTAGGTTGACGAGACCTCGGGCCGCAGTCAGTACTACTTCTCTTGGAGACACGACAATGGAAGGAAGTACACTGGCGATCAAGCCCATAGTGTGTGCACAAGCCTGGGCGGCGGGTGGCAGCCTATTGGCATCAGTTCCAGGGAAGAGATCCAGTTAGTCATTAGAGCTATCGGCAGAGGTTAGTTATTCCAATATCTGTTCCTTAATTAGCTTAGATACATAATATATTATACATTAACTGTATTGGATGTCATGTTTGTTAGTCTATGTTGATGCAAATCAAAGGATTAACACTGCTTTGCTGGGTATACGACCAAGCCACTGAATAACTGTCTTTCAACTATCACTATTTACTTTTTGTCAGAAAAATCTGAGAAAACTTCCACTGGAAGTCATAATTATCATTCTACTTGCACTTTTTTATCTTGAACAAGTAATTCAACAATTGTTTTGCCCTACATTAAAGTTTTTAAATCTAATACTTCTACTGGCAGCCTAATGATTGCGGGATTTAGCAGCCCCAAAAAACCATGTGAACTTTGCTGGTATTGGTGTTTTTTCCATTTTGGAAATGCTGGATTTTTGTTTACCCCTGAAAATGATGTTAAGATTAATATATTCATATTTTCTCGTGAAACTTCATCCTATTTTACCTCTGATAACTTTATTTTGTTTACTTTATCTGTATTTTACTTTTATTTTATGTTTACTAGACAACGTGGAGTACATCTGGACTGGTGGTGTGAGGTCGGGCAGAGGATTTGTATGGGTGAATGGCGAGCCTTTCACTGTTGATGACTGGTCACACACAGGAGGGTAAGTCTTATACTCATGTGAACACACACAATTGTATATTGATGCAAAAGTATTATACCATTACGCATACACCTACTGTACATTTTCTAAACCATTGTTTTGCGTTACAGACTCGGCCGACCTCAGCCCGACAACCGAGAGAATGGGAACGAGAACTGTCTGTCCGTCCTGAACAACATCTACGGTGATGGCATCAAGTGGCACGACGTGGCCTGTCACCACCCGAAGGCTGTCATCTGCGAGAAGCACATATAACTGTCTCTCCTCTCACACACTTCAACATGCCAGGAAGATCAATGTCTGAGCATAAAGTGTGACGTCTTATCTTCCTACTAAAGAAAAAAAAGGCTGCATGCACTTTAATGTTTTCCTCTCTGGCTTTGAAATAATTAAAAAAATATTTATTGTTCATAAATTTCAGTTTCTTTGAAATACAACATATACAGTAAAATATTAGTAGTCTGATGTGTTTGCATTATTGTTCCCTTTTTATAATGTTATATATACTTCCAATTCACTACTAACGGCTATAGAACCTTCAACGCTTAAAGTATTTTAAACAGCCACACTGGCTCTATACACCTTTACTTTCCATATCTGCATTACAACCAACACCTCCAGTAACTTGAATGCCACAGTCACCACTAACTTGTTTGCTACAATCAGTCTATTGAACACTACAATGAATGCACTCTATTCATTAATATCAGTATCTACAAAACGATGTTTCACAAAGTATCTAAAATTCTTCCAATATTGTGAATAATGGGAATTTTCCCCGGCTTCTGCTGATCTCCAGTATATAGTTATTTTGCTGTCCAAATTTGGGACTTAATCATCTAGTATTTTCCACTTATATGTTATGTGATACCTTTCTCTTCTCCTTTCTAGGGAGTATATTTTGAGAGCTTCGAAATGGTCTCAATAATTAGACGTTTCATCGTGTTTGTGTGTGGCGTATATGTTCCCTGTATTCCTGATACTTCAGTAAATTCTCGTGTTGTGAAGGGGGAAGCGAGTATCGAGCAGCACTCAAGACGGGACAACACAAGGGATTTGAATAGAATGGGCAATGTGCTTACTTATCAGCGTCTACGGGGGAGTGAGGTCTAACTTTTCATGTCAGGCCTATTTGCCATAAACCTGTTGTATCAAATTAACTACTCTGACTTTCCTATTCTTTGTCGAAAATGAGCGAAAATGATGGTTGCTGCCACAACTTCTTTTTGAGAATTCCTCTTGTTAGCAACCCGTGCAGGGTATAAGTACTTCCTTAGGCCCTCAGCTAATTTGCATTTCCAACTTCCACTTTTGGCCTGTTGTCCTGCTTTCTCTCAATCTGAAGAGGCTATTTTTGTCCACCTTATGTCCCCCTCAAGATCTTTTAAGTTACCTCTGTTCCTAATATCCTCTAGGATTATGAGATTTAGTTCCATTAGCCTATGTTCGTAGGTTAACCCTCTTAGCACTGACACCAGTCTTGTTGCAAGCTATTGTACTATATCAGTTTTGGCTTTATGTCCATGTTGACCTGGGTTTTAAAGCTCATTGTTCTCCATAAAACTGGAGATCTGACTCCTGATCACTGTCTCAAAAACTTTCATTATGTGCGACGTTAGCGCGATTGGTTTATAATTTTTACCAAGTGCTTTAATCCCTCTCTTGCGTAGGGAAGCTTTATCTGGTGATTTAAGTGCTTCTGGTATCTCCCTGTATTCTAGTTTTTTCACCACGCTACACTGAGTGCTTGTGCTACTGGCACTTTACATTTCTTTATAAATATAAAATTGCACGAATCTGCTTTGGCTGATTGCATGGGCATGTGTCACTTTCTCTTTACAACATTTTCAACGTTGGTGTTAATATCAGAAATATTGTCGGTTTGTGTATTATCTATAAAGAAGCTGTCCTAATTTTTCATTATCATGCTGTTTATTGGGGGGGTGCTATACATAGCCTCTTACTGATCTTTTAGGATGAGGCTATGTTTAGCATCCCAATAAACACCATGTCAGTGGAAGATCCGGACAGCTTTCGTTGTAAATGACGCCCAAATCCCTGACAATACAACTGAAAACAGCACGAACATTGTAGATTTTTAAAGAAAACTGACATGCCTATAATGTCTTTTAGGCGCATGGAGTAATCAGCAGCCTCCATATAATTAAAGTTTTTTCCTTTTCCTAAAGCTTCCTAACGGTCTAAAATTTATAAGCCTGTAATTGGATTGCACGATGGCTTCTCCTGTGTCATTAAGTTTACCAGTTGAGAATCGTTGTTTACAAGGACATCTGGTGAAGAATTATGACCCGATGAACCAATTCTCACTGGCCCATCCTCCAATATATATGGGGAGGTAAATGTAACGGCACAGTTAAGTGTATTTATGTACTATGCAGACAGTAAGGAATGTACTTATTATATTTAGTATTAAAACGTACTGTCTAAACCTCGACCTAACCTAACCTTCTTCATATATTTTATTGCTTCTTAATTACAATTGGTACTAACCTATAGCTATATTGATATTACAGTTTTATAAAACTAATAAAACAAAACTAAAATCTTTCAATAAATTATCAAGTAACTCAGGATATTTTCAGATTTTGTATAAAATCTCTATTGTTTAATAAAACAGCACAATTAAGAGTATTTATGTACTATTCCTAACAGTCAGGAAATGTACTTATTACATTTAGTATTAAAACGTACTGTCTATTCGGAGGATGCGTTGCACTCCCCAGTACCATCTCACTCCTCCCTATTCAAGAGAAAGGAAACCATTGGCATATTATATTAACACTGGGTGGTAAACCGTCCTAATAATGACCTCTGGACTACGGTTCATCAAGCATTTATGTGTACACCTGTACATCTTTCCTCAATCATGGCAATTTAGTCTTTATTTGTTTAATATTTTGTGAGCTTCGATAAATCACAATCCATTGTTATATAAATAACATCGTAGCCTCTGGAGCTCGTAAACTGCTTCAGAAATGTAAACACTGCCTCAATGACTGAGGAAAGATGTGCAAATTCCAGCCCGTCCTCATAAACAAAGGCCAGAGTCCATTCCATGTATCCGCCAAACCCCCTGTTTATGAAGGAAAAATAGTTTACACACGACTCACAAGTGATGACGTCCGAACACTTCCAGAACAAGTCCTTTGCTGACGACTTTTGTTCGAACCATAACGATGTAAATGCTTCACCCACGTTCTACAAATACAAATAATCACCAGCAGAACCTAAACACCTAACCTAACCAACGCTTAAATACCCACAGCATGCTGATATATAACAAATATTAATTTATATTTGAGGAAATTCCTAATTTGAATGAATAACACGTTAAAATTGATTAATGCGACCTTGCGGTTGACCGCTGGATGGAATGGACTGTGTCTGAGGACAGGTTGGGAAATTTAGTTAATGGACACACACAAGCTTGGCGAGTCCTTGTCTAGTGAACCGCTTCAGATGAAGGGAACAGCAGGATACCCAATATCACGACTCTCCTGATATAGCTATATAAGGTATATAGTCCCATAACGGTACCCTCGCTTGGTCTACATAGGAATGGGCTGATGTGATAAGAAGAAGTTGGGAAAAATTCCCCCTTATACAATACCGGAGGTACTTAAGTCACCGCGAAATATCATATTGCAGATAACGATATTAATGAATATATTGTAACGGCACATACATTCACGGTAGTGTTTGATGTACTGATTGTATCAAACACGTTGGTGGTGATTGTGGATTGTGGCATTCACCTTACTGGAGGCGTTGGTGGCAATGCGGATATAGAAAGTAAAGGGGTTTAGAGGCAGTGTGACTACAAAACACTGGAAATTCTGAATATTATACAGGCGTTGGAAGTCTTTTTTTTCCAAACATTATACCGGAACAAGGGAACAATAATGTAAACACATTTTACTGATAATTATTGTATTACCAATATAATTTTTTACGTAAAGCAGAAATATATGAAAAATAAATATTTTAAATTACTTGAAAGCCAGAGAAGAAAATATTAAAGTACATATGTACGCAGCTACATTTGCTTTTTGTAGGAAGATAAGACGCCATACTTTATGCTCAGACGTTGATCTTCCTGCAGTGACTGTAACACGGGAGGAAGTCACACTCCCACATTATATCACATGATGGTCATGTTGGAGTGTGTGAGAGGAGAGACAGTTATATGTGCTTCTCGCAGATGACAGCCTTCGGGTGGTGACAGGCCACGTCGTGCCACTTGATGCCATCACCGTAGATGTTGTTCAGGACGGACAGACAGTTCTCGTTCCCATTCTCTCGGTTGTCGGGCTGAGGTCGGCCAAGTCTGTAACGCAACACAATGGTTTAGAACATGTACAGTAGGTGTATGCGTGTTGGTGTAACACTTTCGCATCAATATAGTTTAAATATGTCTGCAAAAGTACATGTTTGTGTGTTCACATGAGTATAAGACTTACCCTCCTGTGTGTGACCAGTCATCAACAGTGAAAGGCTCGCCATTCAGCCATACAAATCCTCTGCCCGACCTCACACCACCAGTCCAGATGTACTCCACGTTGTCTGGTAAACATAAAATATAATTGTATCAGAGCGAAAATAAGAGTTTTATGAGTAAATATGAATATATTAATTTTACCTTGATCTTCAGGGGGTAATTGAAGAAAAACATTCGGCATTTCCACGATGGAAAAATCAAGGATACCGGCATAGTTCACGTGGTTGCTGGGGGGTTGTTAAAGCCCGCCAATCATTAGGCTGCCAGTAGATGTATGAGATTTAAAACCTTACTGTCCGGTACAAGAGTTCAAACTGAAGGACGTTGAAGTTCACAAAGTGCAAGTGAAATGATAATTACAACCACCATCTTAAGTATTCTCAGATTTCCTGAAAAATTATGATTGTTGAAACAAGTTATTCGCTGGCTTGTTATCAGAGCTAAGCACTCTTAATACTTTAAATTGCATCAACATGGACTTCGGAACACGCATGCAAGATGATATACAGTTAAAGTATAATATAATTTATATCTAATCTAATTAAGAAACAGAAGGAACAATAACTAACCTCTGCCGATAGCTCTAATGACTAACTGGATCTCTTCCCTGGAACTGATGCCAATAGGCTGCCACCCGCCGCCCAGTCTTGTGCACACACTATGGGCTTGATCGCCAGTGTACTTCCTTCTATTGTCGTGTCTCCAAGAGAAGTAGTACTGACTGCGGTCCAAGGTCTCGTCAACCTACAGGTGCAAATGTTGCATTTAAGGGTCATAGTTATCCTGTGTTTTTTTCCATTTCTTCACAGTTAGATTGCAATTCCTGTTTTAGATTCACGATGGAAAATATTGATACAAGTTTTGTGAAAATCTTAAACTATGGAGAAAATATTTTACATCTAGTTTGTATGTTAAAATAATTTAAGTGTTAGGGCTATAGGGAATAGTTAAACGAATTTAATGTAAGATAGAACGTGAATGAGACTCACCGGGACGTTAGATGGAATTGGCTGAGGAGTTGGTCTGGGTGGAGACGGGAACCTTGGTCGAGTTGGGAAGCCGCCACCAAAGGATGGCCTTTGGAATGGTTGAAGGGGACGGCGTTGGAATGATTGAGGGGGACGGCGGTGGACTGGTTGAGAGGAAAAGCGGTTGAAGGGTGTTGGGGGAAGCTCACTGCTCACCACCGCCACCACACTGAGCACCAATAGGATCTTCATCTGGAGTAGAAATTATATCCTCAAGAAAAATTTGGGGACCTGCGAAAATCTTTGTTCTCGTCGAGGCCACTAGGCCTCATAAGTCAAGGAAATTCTGCTAAATAACTGGTTTAACACTTGCCATAAAATGCTGAAAGGAAAGCAATATGGGGCTGATGCTTTGTTATTACATTAATAGCACTATTTCATTTATATTAGTTTTAGTAACTCGCGTCAACAACATTTTCAATCTAAACACCATTTTCAGTCATACTGAGAATATTTTGGTGCATTACCCCTATCGTTATCACTATCGTCGCCTAAATATCGCTGTATTAATGTATTGTATTCTGCTTGTCATGAACTGAACATGCTGGCCTGCTTGACAAAAGGAGAATATGCTGATGATTATTACATTGGGGCAAATACTGGTGTACTGGACACGATGGAGGTGTTCTGTCTGTACAGTATAATGGAAATGTTGATCAAAACCCAGCTCATCACAAGTACAGTGTCACACGGGAGAGACGTGTTGTGAACACAACAATATATCACCATAGGATGAACCAGTAAGAGAACGGCGTCTCCTGAGAGAGAATTCTAACGTTCAAAACACTGAGGAGTGAAGAGGCCACTGCTCGCAGCTTCTGTCCAACACTTACCTTAGCAGGAGTGGAAGTACTTGGTGGGAGGCAGCGGACGCCTTATATACCTGCTCGCTGCTGTAGTGTCAAGGATGTTCTTGGACGCCTCCCTCTCCCTCAACACAGTATTTATCGCGAGAAAATCTTGCTTCTTCCATGATCAAGACACACAAATATTTAAAAATAGAGCATGTGCTTTTCTCTGAATTTGCTACGATTGTAACGCATTTTTCCTATTTTCTTAGTTTGGAAAGAATATTTTATTTATTAGAGAAATAATAGTTTTAAATTGTAATAAGGAAAACAAGGTAGTGGGTTTTTATGGTATTTGGTACTGTCCACCTTTATTCTTAAATTAAAATAAAAGGGTCTTATCGCTGTGAAAATGTGTATATTCAAAACTAGGAAACCAGTTTTTCTTGTTAATCTCTTTTATTAACCCCTTTCACAGCCAAAAAGAACGTATACAGAACTCTTCACTAAGGTGGAAGAGAAAAATTTGTTCAACATAACCATATCATCTCAATAGAGGGGGTTGAGGAATGTTTAATTTTTTCAAGAATACATGTAGAGGCGTTGCCTGATTGGACATTACTTGGAACTACATTATTTTTGTTGAAAAGTATTATTTTATCAACATTTTACATACACCTAAAGTGACCATGACCCAGCAGAAGGAAGAGTAATAATAATTATTATTATTATTATATTTATAATAATAATTCTTGTAATTAATAATTATTACTCTTCCTTCTGTTGAGTCATGAAGGAAACTGGCCTCGGGTGAAAGGGGGCTGTGACTATCTCTGACTGGAACCTGTAGGTTCCAGACAGTTCTGACAGTTCTGTCGGAACTGTTCTGACAGTTCCTGCGACGGTTCTCTGTCTGGAACCTACAGGTTCCAGACAGATCTCCTAGGGCTCGTGCGACCCAAGCTCTACTTCAGCAGGCTGGGGTCGTTCCTGTTCTTGCAGAAGTGTTTTTTCTCCGGCCCCGACCACGGTGGTTTACATGTTTTGAGTCCCTGTGCCTTATTTTACTAACTTCAAGGTAAACTCTGGAGCCGGAGCCCCCTGGGGCAGTTCGTTGTTGCCTTCAACCTCGTTCTGACAGTTCCTGCGACGGCGCTGGAACCAATCGTATTGACTTGCCTTTCCACTGGAGGCTTTCGGCGTCGTGGAGAGGGGTGACCTGCTGCATGGGTAACAGCTTCTCCTCCCGTATCAACCTACCTTGACTTTGTGCCCTGGAGTGGCCACTCCAGACCGACAACCAGAGCACAACTCCATAGTCTCCTATGACTGATGGAGGCCTACTACTACATACACTTAGTATTATTTTATCACTGGCCTTTTGGGCTCTAATAACAAAAATCGTAAGTGCGAAGAAACTATACATTGGAAATTATTGTACATGGAACTCATATTTATAGATGTTCGGAGATATTGGGCTATAAGTTCAGGAAGTATTCCATGTACAATAATTTCTAATGTATCGTTTCTTCGCACCTACGGTTTTTGTTATTCGAGCCCAAAATGGCAGTGATAAAATAGTACTAGGTGTATATATAATTTTGATAAAATAAAATTTTGCAACTAAAATGATGGAGTTCCAAGTAGTATCCAATCCGGCAACACCTCTATAATTCAATTTTTTTTCAACTCAACAATTTTTGTATTGGATGGTGGATGTATAGTAAAATCGAATAACATGTTTCAGGCAAATGTAATTAGTTCCCAGTAATATCCAGTCAGGCAGCGCCTCTAAATATATTCTTGAGCAATTTAAACATTCCTCAGCCCCCTCTAGTGAGATGATGTCATGTGAGCACATTTTGCTCTTCCACTTTGGGGAAGAGTTCTGTATACGTTCTTTTTGGCTGTGGAAGGTGTTAATAAAAACCAATTAACAAGAAAAACTAGCCAACTAGTTTTGAATGCAAACACATTTTCTCGGCAATAGGACCTTTTTTTAATTTAAGATTAAAAGTGAACATTAGCAAATATCCCCAAAAACACTCTCTTGTTTTCCGTATTACATTTTAAAACTTTTGTTTCTCTAAAATAAAACCCACTACCCTGTTTTCCTTATTACATTTTAAAACGTTTGTTTCTCTACAATATTAAATATTCTTTCGAAACTACGAAAGAAAATAGGAAAAAATGTGTTGCAATCGTAGCAAATTTAAAGAAAAACATATGTTATATTTTTAAGCATTTGGGTGTGTGTTTTGATCATGGAAGAAGCAAGACTTTCTCGCGATAAATACTGTGTTGAGGGAGAGGGAGGCGTCCAAGAACATCCTTGACACTACAGCAGCGAGCAGGTATATAAGGCGTCCGCTGCCTCCCACCAAGTACTTCCACTCCTGCTAAGGTAAGTGTTGGACAGAAGCTGCGAGCAGCGGCCTCCTCACTCCTCAGTGTTTTCAACGTTACAATTATCTCTCAGGAGACGCCGTTCTCTTACTGGTTCATCCTATGGTGATATAGTGTTGTGTTCACAACATGTCTCTCCCGTGTGACACTGTACTTGAGTTGTGATGAGCTGAAATTTGACCCAGTGTAATTAATGATCATCAGCATATTCTCCTTTTGTCAAGCAGGCCAGCATGTTCAGCTCATGGCAAGCAGAATTCAATACATTAATACAGTGATATTTAGGGAACGATGGGGGTAATGCACCAAAATATTCTTCGTTTGATTAAAAATGGTGCTTAGACATTTTAGATTGAAAATGTTGTTGACGCGAGTTACTAAAACAATAATATGTAAAAGTACTAAATAGCGCTGTTAATTTAAAAACAAAGCACGAATCCTCATACACACAAATCACAACGTGATATATCAAATAAACAAATCCACAAGGCCCTTAATGAGGGTTCGAACCTACCCACGGTATGTAGCGCTCCAGGTTGCAATTCATTTAACCATGTTGTGGCACAGTTGACTAAGGCGCATCTGGGAACATCCCATGCGTAGGTTTTTATCACTGGCCTTTTGATAAAAAAGCCAATGGCCTAATCAAGGCCATTGTGGATTTGTTGATGAACCCTCATAATGTTTTTTTCTTTCAGCCTTTTATGGCAAGGCTTAAACCAGTTATTTACTAGAATTTCCTTGACTTATTACACTTAGTGGGCTCGACGAGAACAGAAAGTCACAGGCTTGTGAAACGGGTCCAAAATTTTTCTTGAGGATATAATTTCTACTCCAGATGAAGATCGTATTGGTGCTCAGTGTGGTGGCGGTGGTGAGCAGTGAGCTTCCCCCAACACCCTTCAACCGCTTTTCTTCTCAACCAGTCCACCGCCGTCCCCCTCAATCATTCCAACGCCGTCCCCTTCAACCATTCCAAAGGCCATCCTTCGGTGGCGGCTTCCCAACTCAACCAAGGTTCCCGTCTCCACCCAGACCAGCTCCTCGGCCTATTCCATCTGACGTCCCGGTGAGTCTCATTCACGTTCTATTTTACATTAAATTCGTTAAACTATTCCCTATAGGCCTGACACTTAAATTATTTTAACATACAGACTAGATGTGAAATATTTTCTCCATATTTTAATATTTTCACAAAACTTGTATCAATGTTTTCCATCGTGAGTCTAAAACGGGGAATTGCCGTCATGCAATTGTAAACAAATAAAAAATACAGGATAACTATGACCCTTAAATACAACATTTGCACCTGTAGGTTGACGAGACCTCGGGCCGCAGTCAGTACTACTTCTCTTGGAGACACGACAATAGAAGGAAGTACACTGGCGATCAAGCCCATAGTGTGTGCACAAGACTGGGCGGCGGGTGGCAGCCTATTGGCATCAGTTCCAGGGAAGAGATCCAGTTAGTCATTAGAGCTATCGGCAGAGGTTAGTTATTGTTCCTTCTGTTTCTTAATTAGATTAGATATAAATTATATTATACTTTAACTGTATATCATCTTGCATGCGTGTTCGGAAGTCCATGTTGATGCAATTCAAAGTATTAAGAGTGCTTAGCTCCGATAACAAGCCAGCGAATAACTGTTTCAACGATCATAATTTTTCAGGAAATCTGAGAATACTTAAGGTGGTGGTCGTAATTAATCTTTTCACTTGCACTTTTTTTTTTAAACAAATCCTTCACTTTGAACTATTGTACCGGACAGTAAGGTTTTAAATCTCAAACATCTACTGGCAGCCTAATGATTGCGGGCTTAAACACCCCCCCAGCAACCACGTGAACTATACCGGTATCCGTGTTTTTTTTTTGTCCACCTAGGAAATGCTGGATTTGTTCTTCCTCTACCCTGAAACTCATGTTAAAATCAATATATTCATGTTTACTCATGAAATTGTCTTATTTTCGCTCTGATACAATTATATTTTATGTTTACCAGACAACGTGGAGTACATCTGGACTGGTGGTGTGAGGTCGGGCAGAGGATTTGTATGGCTGAATGGCGAGCCTTTCACTGTTGATGACTGGTCACACACAGGAGGGTAAGTCTTGTACAATTGTGTGTTCACATGAGTATATTTGCAGACATATTAAAACTATATTGATGCAAAAGTATTATACCAATACGTATACACCTACTGTACATGTTCTACACCATTGTGTTGCGTTACAGACTCGGCCGACCTCAGCCTGACAACCGAGAGAATGGGAACGAGAACTGTCTGTCCGTCCTGAACAACATCTACGGTGATGGCATCAAGTGGCACGACGTGGCCTGTCACCACCCGAAGGCTGTCATCTGTGAGAAGCACATATAACTGTCTCTCCTCTCTCACACTCGATCATCCCTGTCATCTGAGATCGTGTGGGAGTGTGACTTCCTCCCGTGTTAGTCACTGCAGGAAGATCAATGTCTGAGCATAAAGTATGACGACTTATCTTCCTACAAAAAGAAAATGTAGTTGCATACATATATACTTTAATATTTTCTTCTCTGGCTTTCAAGTAATTTAAAATATTTATTTTTCATATATTTCTGCTGTACTAAAAAATTTACATTATCAATACAATAATCAGCGGTCAATTGTGTTTATATTATTATTCCTTTGTTCCGGTATAATGTCTGGGAATTCTCGCCCTGATCTAAATACCAACCCTATACTTCGAACGCCTGTAGAACCTTCAGCATTTGTTTTATAGTCACACTGCCTCTAATCACCTTTATATACTTTCTAAGTGAGCATTGCCACCAACGCCTCCAGTAACGTGAATGCCAAATCCACAATCACCACCAACTTGTTTGATACAATTAGTACATTAAACACTACCGTGAATGCACTATATTCATTAACATCATTATCTGCAATATATTTCGTGAAGTGACTTAAGTATCTCCGATATTCTATAGGGGGGAATTTTTCCCAGCTTATGCGCATCACAAAGGCCTAGGGTAGACCAAGCGAGGGTGCCGTTATGGATCTATATACCTTAGATATATCAGGAGAGTCGTGATATCGGGTATCCTGTTGTTCCTTCATCTGAAGCAGTTTAGTTCAGTAAACCAAAACTTGCCAAGCTTTACCTAGTCACTTAACTAAAATTGTACATCTTCAGTAATTGAGGCAGAGTTTACATTTCTGAAGCAGTTTATGAGCTCTGGAGGGCTACGAGTTTGTTTATACTTTAGTGTGAGTTACAGTTTGAGTTTGTAGCACAATGTTGGAAACTATAAGGATGAAATTAGGTACTTTTTTGTTTTACTTTTGAATAAAGCATAGGTTCGACAATTTTGTAATTCATTAAGGAATAAGTTACGTAGACTGAGTCCTTTTATTTGCATGGAGTATTTGTATATGTTTAGTTTGACTCTAGGGATATAAAAGATATATTTATACCTCGTATGGTGCTCATAATGGGTTCTATTACATCTATGAAGGAGGAGTTTCAGCTAGGGATAATCATTTAGACACAGGATTTTGTACATGTAAATAGTACAAGAGAATATGTGAAGTGTTCAGGATGTTTATGTATTGAAACAGTGGACCTGTGTGTTGTCTAAAGACAGAGTTTGTTATGGTTCTGATAGATTTTTGCTGGGTGGTGAAGAGCTTGAGGCAATTTGCAGTGGTTGAGCCCCCATACTGTATGTTGTATAGGGATAGATCACTATCCCTATCTAACACAGTACGTCTGGTCACTATTGCTTTTAGCACCGGTGCCCAGACATTGAGCATTCGTTAAAAAAATGTAGATAATGTGGATAACATTTGTAAATAAATGGCCACGTCTACGGTAGGAAATAATAATAATAAAACTACTGCCTCTGAGCACTATTGCGTGTCATCGCGAGGCCTTATGCTCAGGCCTCGTCTCAATTATCACAACACGTCATTGACTTGCGAACAATTGACTGCTATAACAATGACTATATTAAATATAAAAAACACTAGAACTCTGTCTTGTGGCCCAAATACGTACAGGTAAACATACGTTACAGGACGTATACCGAAACCGGTGGCCTTTGACAAGCCACCGGTTTCCTGTCTTTGCTGCTGTTGCAGGTGCTGCTGCTGTTGCAGGTGCTGCTGCTGTTGCAGGCGGTGCTAGTTCGTTTTTCAGGAATAAGTGTTGCAGTAGTAGATGTTACAGGACTAGGAGGTGCTAAAGTTGTATTTACTGTCCCTAATTTATTTATTTATATACAAAACGGTGCAAATAGGTGTATGAGAGTTGTCACGTGAATCCCCAGCATAGCAGTGGAACTGCCTTTTCCCTTAACCTTCAATGCCTCTGCACTGGAAGTCTACATCTACACCAGCCAGATGAGTCGTCAGTCCTGCCACCTCACCATACCCCCCCAGGGCCTGGCACGGCCTGGTACGACTCAGAGGCAAGCTGGGTGCTTCTGCTAACCGGTAGTTTGCCCCCACAAACAAGGAGTTCGCCGCCTTCAACTGACAGTAGTGCAGCTCAACACAAAGGCACCGCCAGCCACAACGAGCAGTTTGCTAGTTGATCAGATGTCCACCTTGTGTTGACACTGGACGAGTCATCACCGCCGGACTATATAAAGGGCGCTGCCTCCCTGGAGAGAGAATACGGGCTCACCATAGCCCGTGCTACTTGGAACTTTGTTCCAGGACAACAACCCTGGAGAGTCAGTCTCTCCCTTAGTGCTCTAGGATCACCCTCGTGTGTCTCACCCGTCGTCCGCCTTCAGCCAACGTTGTGTGACTGACGCCATGGTGGTATGGTAGCAGTCTTCAGTACACCAGTATATCTTTATGCTTTTCTTCATTGCATATACTGTAGTTTATTTTTACATTTAAGATCATACTAACCTGTTCACTTTTGCAATACATCGATAGCCAAGTATTTTCAGGGGCGTATATGTTCATTAATATTTCAGTAAATTGTTTAATTATTTATTTGATGATTTTTATTTGTTTCCACCTGCGACTTACACACTGCAAGGCCAGGAGCAGCATTTTTGTTTATTATGTGCGGGAGAGCCATACCATCTTGGTTCAGTATAGCTGCGATACCACAACCCGTCTCAGAGTACATAGCATTGATGGCTTTACATTCTTGTAAAGCCACTAACACGCATAGCGCTTCGGGCAGGTCCTTAATCTAACATAATTTTAAGTAGATAATTTGAAGCAAAATTGCTTCTTGCTAATGCTTGCTAAAATTGCTAATGTATTCCGCCAGCTCATAGTGAAGACTGATTACCCACCCAGGCGTAACTATTGTGTCAACGGTGGAACCATGTTGCAAGAATGTTTTGGAGTGATGCCCGAAACGCTTTGCGTAATAGTGGCTTTAGGCATTGTATGTACGAGCTCTATCTATAAATCAATCAATCTTTGTAAAATCTCTTGTATGTATGTACCTTACCTAAATAAACATTTATTTATTATTTATTTATGATGCGCGCTGTGGCCACAGTTACATGCCAAACGGCTTGTAACAACTGTATGCAATGTTTGAAAGTAAAAATATGAAACAGTTCAAAGTAAGTGTCAATTTTCATCTAGACATACGTAGTCCCCACCTGGAATGAAATTTGTGTCGAGCTTCTGCCACAACGTTTCCCTCCTCTTCCCTCTTAGGCTAGGGGCTGTCGGGTCAGGGTTCTTCCCCTCAGCTGTAAATGATCTTTCCGACGTGGTTGGTCTTGGGCTTAATTCCCTTGTCTCTTCCTAGACCAGGTTGCCCCCCGGTCCCCGCGTGATTCGATCTTTAAGGAGTGTAGATTCATTTTCTGATCATCCTTCTCTGTGGCCTCATTGGCTTGGGTTCACCTGTTTTTACAGGCAGCTTTTTAGATGGTGTTCCTGGTCCTAATGGTCGCATACTGGCACGTCCCAATTCACCTGGAGTTGAACTCCAGGAGTTCCAGGCCTGGTCCAGTTTTGTTGTGGTTCGAGGGTCTGTCCCTTTAGCTCGTATTTGGCTCCTCGACATTTTCCGGCTTCTAGCTTTCATGGTTCGGTATCATGGAGCCATCCTCCCATCGCTCGATATATTCATGGATGCATCTGCTCTTGGTTAGGACTTCATGACGAACTCTCATTCCCGGGGTCTAGGCCATTCCATCGAGCACACGGCACGGTGCGGGAGTTTGCAGCTGTGTGGCAGGCCCTGCAGAGAAAAAGAGGATTCAGCTTTCTCCTGCCTTCAGTTCCATTCTGACTGGTCCTAAATGGTTCATTCCTGAACAGCGGTGGTTTGCTTCGGTTCTATCCGTTTGAAGCTGGACTCATCATTTAGCTCGGCTTGTGGATTCTCATGGATTGGTTCTCCACGTGAGTTACATCCAGTGTGTGTCCAACATTCTCATTTCTGTCTTATTTCCATAGAATGGACCGTCGACAATGCGTCCTTCCGTTGGCTTTGCGAGACGTTCGGTCGCCCCATGCCTCTACCCACTGGCATGGAACTGGTGTCTTCCCGCGTATGTGGCTCCATTTCCTTTCGGGAGAGTGATCCTTCAGGTTCCTTGGTGGCTGGCACAGTCTTGGTTTCCAGCTCTTCTGGTCCCGTGTAAAAATAAGTTTTTTTTTCTATGGCTCGGCTTTTATCAGCAGATTTATTAGCCCAGCAATATACATCACTAGTTCAACTCTCTCCTCTGCTCTACTCATTTGGAATTTCTGAGGCGAGTTTGTTGTCACTGGGTTGTTGGTCTCACCTGCGCTCTCTTCGCTTCGGTTTCATGTGGTTGTCTGATGCTCATATCGCCTTTTTTGTCTCTTTATCCTTCTTCCGTGTTAATCCAGGTAGTCTGTCAATTTTGTCGTGGATGTTTATGGAGTGGTATCTTATTCCCATTACTGTCAAGAGGCCGAATGACCTCTTGTCATTCGGCATCGGCAGAGCCGCTGTTGCTTACAAGCAGTATCAGTCCTAGCTTTGGTGCCACTTTGTAAGTTGTCTCGTGCATTCTTTCGCCTCTGGTTGGCTCATTTTCCTTCTGGGCTATCTTGGACTCTTGGGAGGGTCTTGGTGTTTCTTTTCCATTCAAGCCCGCCCCCTTTGATCAGGGGAATTTTTCTCAAGATGGTGTTTTTTGTTGTCTCGCCTCTGGCTGCAGGGTTGAGGAGCTTCATTTTCTTCTCCAGTGGAGATTCTGTTTCTTCGGCCTTGGTGGGGGGTTTATTTGTCTGCGGCATTTTTCTTTTCTGGCAATGAATGAGTCAGCTGGTCCTTTGGTGATTGATATTTGGTTGGGTCTGCCAGGGAGTGCATCATTTTGTTGTGTATAGTGGCGGTGCTTTGCCATTATCTGTGTTCCTACCAGTTCTGCCTCGGTAACTGTCATGTGAGTTGGTTCAGTCTCCTAGGTCCCCCTGCTTCAAAGTTCTTATTTCTCTGGTTGGTCGCAGTGTAAGGTTAGCCAGCCTGTTATCTACCCTTGAGTTCATGATGTATGTTGGTATTCAGCATTGGGTGCTATTTTCCCCAATATGGTGTCGGGTGATGATTGGGCTCGGGGGTTTTGGAGGTCTTACAGGGTCTTGGTTAATCTCACTGGTTCTGGTCAGTCTTGTGTGGCACTGGATTGGGTTATATGGCTCATGGTTACACCTTCAACCTAGTACCTACCATCTCTCCTCCCAGGTCAGTCCCTTGTTTTCCTGTTTCTCTGTGGTTAGCTTCAGGGAGCACCAGGGTCTGCTTCCAGAAATCCAGTGTCAAATGAAATGAAATGCCTATTTCCGGTGCAAAGATAAGGCATAGCCACCAGGCATAGATAAGGCAGAGCCACCAGGCATAGAGCCTGGTGGCTCTATGCCTGGTGGCTCTATGCCTCCCTCCCAGCCAGGTTTATCAGTTTTGTCAATCAGCTTTGGCCGGACCATTGGAGCTGGCTGTAGGCTGCCTAGTAGTGGCTATCAGTACAAACAAGTTCAATCTAGTTTAAGATGAATTGGTTTAATCTTAATCATTTGCAGTTATTTGTCTATTTTGATGCTTCATTTTGTATGAACTTTGCAATTGTCTATAAAGCTTTATTGGCTTTAAGGATGCTATCTTGATGATTATTTTTTGCCTTTCCAATGATACCAAAGAAATGACTTTGCAGTAATTTTTGTTTAAACAGTTTACAAACAAAACTAAATATCAAGGCAAAATATAAGAGAAATATAAATCTGAAAACATGTTCAAGAGCCTAGTTTGGTGGCCATTAAAGCATAAAGTGGAGAATGGGGCCTTGTCTGGGGCATTCTTCCACTACAGTGACCAGGTAAATGTGTGAAATGGCAAACTCATGGGTACCCTTAGTGACGTGGGCTGTCATATGGTGTCAGTTGGGCATATCGCAGTGAAGGCATCCTTTGCACTTATCCTATCTGATGGGTTTTTCTCGGTTTTGAGTTGATCTCTGATTCCCACTCTTCCCACACTTCAAAATGTGCCAGAGTCTGGTCCTGGCGACCAGTGGACTTGGGTGGGCCTCAGAGGTCGAGTATAATTCCTAAGGCTTGGCAGTACCTGCACTTAGATCTCAGATAGCTACTAAAAGGAGGCCCTCCCAGAAATGTAGGGTATCTTAAAATCATAGTACATAAGCAATGAAAAGTATATTTCAAGAAATATGCAATTAAGACAAGAACAAATAAGATGTTAAAAAATGAAGTAATGTAATACTAAATAATAAATTACTTTTAATTTAGTTTATATTAGCTTCACCACATCATTCAAACATCACAGGCAGCTAGTTTCAAGACACCTTAAAAAGAAATAGCACTACCTACCTAAGTTTCAAAATACAATGTTCTGCAATACAGTACTGTGCATTCACCATCCACCATTTAAACAAGCACCAAAAAACAAAATACATTATGGGTCATGATAAATTCAGCGTTACAACACTTGCAAACACACAACAATATTTTCTCGTAACTTGAAAATATTAGTGCCTGCAATTCTTGTATGTGGTGAACCTAACCATTTATAACTGAAGCAATTTGAATTCAAGAACAATAGACTTCAACTCTTATTGAATGTTGTAAGTAATCTCTCTGCTTGCCTTTAATAAGAACATTAAATATTTATGTTTTCGGAGGGCTCACTAAAGATAATCCAACTTGGTATACCATTTTGACACAGTCTCTTACAAACTTGAAAGATTTTCTAGAAATTTATTATTAAATTAAATATAGTTACAAAAATACATTGCTGTATAGCTGCATACCAAAACAGGCATAAGATTTGAGTAAACTTCTAAGCTAATTATTGAAATTGTGTTTTCTTGCAAATACTTATGAAAATGAATGTCATGGATTTCATAATTTAAATAAAAATTAAAATTAAAATAAGAGAACTTAAGATATAGAAAATTGTGTATGCACATTTAATTGTGCAATACTGTATAGTTATTCACAAGAAATCAACTACTGTATAACTCTAATTTAAAAGCCAATAAATAGCTTAGAATTAACAAAATAGATGCCACTGATGCCCCATAAATAGTGCAAAATGTAACAGCTGTTTTTCCTCATTAATAACAAAGATCTAGGCTTATAAAGCAGTAAGACACACACAGTCACTTGCGAGTATAGTGTACACAACAGCTATATCATAATAACCGCATCCTCCCACCTAGCTAACAAATTAACAAATACACAGTAATGCCAAGCATAAAAGCTTCTTCAATAAGTTAGAAAAAGTATTATAAACCAAATTACAATTATTAAAAGAAGGCACTAAGCCAGGAACACAATTTAGCGCTAAATAGTAAATAATCAACAAATTAAAAAGTGATCTGGATGAGGACACCTTAAAACCCTTCACTGCTTTGGTTAAATTTTTTGTCTATATTTCTTTTATGTTTTTGCCTGAAACGCTTTGCATAATAGTGGCTTCATAGATTGTGTAACTCCTGTCCATACAATTGTACATTACTTTTATGTTCTTTGTACACATTTTTTTTTAATAAGCATTTGTATTCGTAAAAGTGTGTGTGTACAGGTAGGTGGATAGGCAATAAATGGTCAGAAAAGGCACAAGTATTTTATCTAAACACAGATGAGCACTGGCAATATATGTAGTTTCAAGCTCAAGGTTAAGTACTGGAACCGTTAAGTTACAGAGCACAGGATACATTGGTATTAAACTATGATTCTTTTTGGCTTGCAATCTGGGCCCCTGCACCTAATTTGCATTTACTAGTAATATTTTCCCTAGAGATTACAAGAGGGTTCATCTCCACTCCCCTAATTTAGTTTTTAATCATACAAACTGTTGAAATATGTGGAATTTAGACATAGGTCTGGCTGGCCCTGGTCAGACCAGTGTATTTTTTTATGTTCATTGAGAATTTCCCTCTTGAGAGTATTTCCAATTATTTTGTCATTTTACACTAGCAATGTCAGGTTGAAGAGTATAATAAAATCTAACAATTTTATACTGTTACTTATTGTTCTGTGCCTGAGTGTGTGTTTATTTAGTGTGCTTTCAGATAATAGACAACTTTTGAGCCTTGCCTTGCCCAGTTGTACGGTACAAAAACTCTCGAGCCTCAAATGCTTTGTCACACTAGTACTTATTAACGTTAAGAGATGAGTTAGCATTCATTAACATCCCTAGATAGGTATGTGCTTGGCTATCCATACTGCAAAGAACTAAGCTTCAGCTCCAAAGTCCTGACCTTTAATTCATTGTTGTGCTTACCTATACATTTGAAGGAAATGAGGTTCACCCTTGGGTCTTGTTGCTTAGATATTGGCTGCCTCGTGCAACAACTCTCATCCTTCTTATACTTTATCTAACTAATTAATTTTCCATTTTTTTTTTTTTAGTTAACATCTACAGGAATACTGTAATTCCTTATGTTGCTTTAACTTGTCGCTTAGTTTACACCTTGTCCTCTTCTTGGATTTCCACCTCTCACTGTAGCCACTGTCTCTTAATTTTGTACTTTGTGATCAGGTCTCCTTTGGTTCTTCACTTTTCTGGTGATACAAGACTTCCTTTAGCCTACTCACATAACCCAGCTCTCTTTAATTCAGGTACTGTACTAGACTTATACACAATCTCTGAAATTTCTATAAATTTCCATTTTGGAGTTTTGATGTATGACTTCCATACTTTTGCAGCATGCTCTATTACATGTCTCACAAAAGCATTGCAGAATGTTTTAAATATTTTTTATTCAAATTCCTAATGGCTGTATTTATATTTGCCAGATTTGTGTACAGTATACTTATGTTACCATATTTGTGTCTGCTTCTGGTAATAGACTTGGTGTAATATCCAACACTTCTGTTTGAAGCATTATTAGGTCTGTGCTAATCACCATTATGGGTATTCCAGAGTTATCCGAAAAAGAATGTTGCTTCACTTCAGAAAGACAAATGGCTGATAACAAAATGTTTATGATTACTCATTTGAGCAAAATAAACCTAGCCACACTTTTCCATTCTATATAATGAAAGGTGGAAGAAATAGAATGCTTATTAATGAAAATAACTGAAAACACACGGAGAACACGTAACTGTTAAATGTATTCGCTTAAGTTGAATACGGTGTCGAAAACTCTATCAACATCAGAGACCTGAGACTGTTCAACACACTTTGACTACACATAAGGGGCATAACTGGCCGATCCCTCTAAGTGTTCGAAAGAGAACTTGATAAGCACCTCCAAAGGATACCTGATGAACCAGGCTGTGACTCATATGTCCAGCTGTGAGCAACAGCTTCTAGCAGCCTGATTGACCAGTCCAGCAACAAGGAGGCCTGGTCGAGGACCGGGCCGCGGGGATGCTAGGCCCCAAAATCGTCTCAAGGTAACCTGTCACATATTCCCAAGGAGGGTTTCTAGAAAAGTTGGCGGCGGCGGCACGCAGGTACCTCAAATCCTCCATCATCTTCAATGTACACAGTTTTTGTTAAGACAAAATTGTCCATTACAGTGTATTTACAAATTCAATACATAAAGCAAGAAAAATTCTTGACATGAACTTAATTACCACATTTAAGGGTTGAAAAACACCACCTCATCTCTACATAGGTAAGTAAAAATGTTAGGACTTCGTAGTTTTGTAATTACACTAACAAAGCAATACAGGTCTCTTTAAAACATGTGCAGTTGATAAATATAAGGAAATATTGGGCTTGTATTATTTATGATAAATTATATCAAAATCTTTTAAACAAAATAATCCTGATATTGTATTCTCACCCATCGATTAGTTCTGCTAAAAGATTTCACACTTTATATTAGTTTCTCATCAATATTTGTATTGCTGTGGTTTGTTATTTATACAGTACCAATACAGTACAGTATTTTATTTGGTTTCTTGCACAACATGAGTGAATGCGGTATTTCCCATTACTATATTGAACATGTGCGAGTTATTTAGATTTCAGCTCCTAAGTAGGTCTTTCCTAAATATTTTTGTATCTATAGTAAAATGCAAAAATATGCATAAGAAAAAAGTTAGGGCAGAAAATTCAATTTATGCATGACAATTGTATAGTATATGGTTTTATATAAAAAAAAAATCAAAGACAACATGAATATCATAAATGACATAAAATCTTTGGAAATGCTTTGACTTTTGACTCAATGTTAAAAATCACATAAGCTACTTGCTAGTGTCAGTATATTGTATGACCAGAATTCATATAACTATTTATATCACAGTTCACACATGGAGATTGGGTTCTGCAAAGACAACCCTCATTTCGGTACATGGTACGAGTAAATAATTACATCATTGTATAATATCGGTATTCCTAGACTGGACAATAAATGCAATTTTACATTGATGCAACTCGAACCTTAAAATTCCTGCCTGTTAACTGTTTAACATTTTATTAAGTACATATTATATATCCCTTTCTTCAAGTTTTCGTATCCAAAAGGAAATGTCGAGTCATTTAAAATTATTTTTCACAAGTCAGAGATGCATATTAAAGATTAAAAACACTTTGAATATGAACTCTTTGAAGATGTAAGTTGTCTGATTAAATAACGCAGTTTATTCAAATACATTACACAATATAACACAAAATAGAGATTCTTGATACTTAAAGAGTGGCACAACCTAGGTAACTGGTCCACGAGCGATGACCACCCTGTGTCGTGTGTGCTCATGTTTCTGCAATATGCGGAACAGGGCACTCACCCTTATTACAATATTTGTCCCCATATTATGTATGAAAGAATTTCTATAAAATGTATATAATGTACCTTGAAATCATAAAAACAAAGTAGAATTGTCTGATTTCATAATCCTAAATAGAAAAAAAACCAATGCACTTAAATCATAATTTTGTTCGTGATTTGAATTATCACATAGTCATGCACAGATATTACCTTTGAAAACCTGGAAATGATACTGTACATGGTGGTAAATACACATTTATTAATACAAAACTCGCATCACAATTCGTCATGTTTTTTATATTTAGGTATCCAATGAGGCACCCCACTAATTATATCATTTTTATCCAGATTTTGGAAGTTAATTCCATCTGTACTCTGACGGTTACCATTGGGCGAGCCTCTATAGAGACGCACAGTAGGATACGCACGCACACCAGCCCCCTGACAAACACTGCGGTACATTTCGCAGTTTAGTTTCCCAGCATGAACAGAATTCTCCAGAGCCTGCAAAAGAAAGTAAATACTGTATAACTGTAGAACAAAATGAAAGAGTATCGAACCAGCGACTTGCAAAAAGCGATTTAAAGCTATTCATATTGAGCTCTGTTTGAAACACTGTTACAAATGGACAAAATACTGTAGACACCCAATTTTATGAATTAATATTTTATGCATTACCTTTCTCCACAATTATATATACAGTATATCTCACTTATTGTAAAAGGAGAAATGCTTGGCGTGACTGTGCACATGCGACTCAGGCTTGGGTACAAATATTACCGGGAATATGGAATAGGTGTTAATGATAATGACACCAAGTGTAAAGTATGTGGTATGTAAAGGTCTCGCACCCTTACCCATTATGTCCTTGATTGCCTGCTGATTAATGTATATAGAAACTCTGAGATAAACACTGTTCCTGAATAAATGGCCTGGATGTGTCACATCGGAAAGATTGATGATATTCTGGAGATATAAGAATTTTGCACCAAGATTGTAACCTTTTGTTGAATTGTCTGAATGTCTATTGCAAATTGTCTATATACCTATAGACAATTATAATATATTGTCTATAAAAGTGTTTGTCTATGTCTGGTAACATACTACATGTATAAAGGAAGAAATGTATATGTTTATCACTCAGAATGTTCGGTAATATGTTTATTGTTTGTGATATATATGAACACGTTGTACTGAACGGGGTGAGAACAGCTTGAGTTATCTCATCCCTTTGTGTGTATTTTACCTCAATAAAAGAGTGTGGGGTAATTCAGCTGCACTTTTTGCAAAATCAAAGAGAACCAAAACTAATTAGAAACTGTAGGTGATGATTGGCATGGCAAGTGATTACTGCTGGTAATGATGACTGGTACAAGTATTTGATGTTTCTAGAATTTTGACAAGGATTGGTGAGTGTAACTGATGATGAATAGTGTGGGTATTGTAGGCTGGCGAGGGTGCATAGGTGGTTCCTGGTGGTGATTCATCTCGTGATGATGTCTGTTGTGGATGATGAAGTTTAGTGTAGATGGTGATCGGTTAAGGGTGGTGGTGGTGATGCAGGGTAGTAGTTTCGGCAGAAATAAAAACTAGGAATCGATTGTTTCTCGAGACGTCTGTGTCTGCACAGGGAGTCTAGTGCTACAATGCTTTGCATCACAATACAGTGCGCAGTCATTTATATTTTCCAGATTATTTCTATCTGCTTCCATGTGTTCCAGGGGTTCCCTTTCCTAGTGTGGATTGTCTAGTTACCGTATCTTCTCTGCCTCAGAGAAACATAGTCATCACACTAGTGCAGCTCTTGTTGAATTGCTCTACTGTTTAGGCATTTCCTTCAGACTCCATCTCGGGCTTATGCTCTAGTGCTAGACTTCCGACTCTTGCGCGCGCACACTTGTGCACTCAATATGGACAATAAAGCATAACCTAGAGTGCTTAGAATTATCGGCAATTAAGGTAGAAAAATTTCTCAAGGTGGTGAACAGAAACATAACAATAGGCCAGATTGAGTCTTTTACCTGATTTGCCTATCGGGGCCATTAACCCTAGTGGCCTTGACAAGGACAGGAAACCGGTGGCTTGTATGCCTGCATTGTCTTAACAATGGTTCAGGTAAGCTCCGGTAGACACCTGAGCTGCGCTACAACTCGCATTCAGACATCCTTACATAAGAGAACCTAGCAAAAATAGTTCAGAAATAGTCTATCTTGGCCATCTTTTCCAATTTTTATATAGTCCTGTCATTCTTTCACCAGGTCAAGCCCAAGTGATTTAATAATGAAAAGTATAAAATATGTAAAAAGGAATGAGAAGTAGATAGAACAGGGAAGCAGCTTCATTGCACAAATTATGCAAAAAATGGATGCCAATGACATGTGCTACATACATAGTTTTCCCATTTTCAGACAAGATCACTATTTTTTAACTCCTATTATGATCTTTAGTTTAATACAGTACAATATGCCTATGATACTTCATCTCCAAAACCTGCAAAATTTTAAGTTCTTCAAAGAACTTACCTGAGCAATATCTTCAAAATCTGGTGCAAACACTTGACAGTGTCCACACCATGGAGCGTAAAAATCAATTAACCAAGGCTGCGTGCTGTGGAGAACTTTCTCATACAACTCTCCATCTAATTCAGTTACTTTAGAAGGAAGACTGGTATAGGTCCACTGACGGAAGGCTTCTGCATCTCGAGACCATCCATTAAATTTCCTGTTGGTGAACATTTTGTATATACTTTTGCATTTCAATAATTTTTTTTTTTTAACAATGACTTGTCTTTGAATATCTTTCCACTCTCATAAATGTATAGTGAGTGGCTGTAACAGAATGGATGTAAAAATATTTATTTCTAAAACTTGTATTACATTATCTTTGTCACTTTCAAGGAATTTTTTTTTTCAGGCATCAATCTGAAAAAAGAAGGTAAATTATACACACAGCAGCAGTCATGCACATGAACACCCTAACGCCTCAATATGACCAAATGAATTAAACTCGATTAAGTTCTTTAATACATTTTCATCAATTACCTGTGTCATGTGTATTTATGTATACTCTTAGCTTTAAAACATTATTTAGGAATACCTGTACATAACTTTCATTGCATAAATGTTTTTAACCTACAACCATTGTCATTTAATCCTGGGACATCATTTCCACACACACTGCCATTCTTAACCTACAACCATTGTCATTTATTCCTGGGACATCATTTCCACACACTGTGCCATTCTTAACCTACAACCATTGTCATTTATTCCTGGGACATCATTTCCACACACTGTGCCATTTTCATGCCTATTCCACGTTATGAAAAAATATAGAGCAGAAGCCCAGAGTTGGCGCCACAAGGGTAGAGAGGGCTATGGACATAGATGATATATGGGTGGAGACCCTACTCTCTCACAGGGCATGGCCCAAACAAAAACAAGCAGTCACATGATAGTGACAGATGCCAGGGCATGTAAACAACCCCAGAGGATGCCTGTAGCGGCTGACGAGATGGCAAATGGCAGTTGTAAGAACCGTAAGCACTCCGACAAAATGCTCACATGGTGAGAGCAGGCTCAGCAGGCAGGTTCATAGCCAAACCACACTAAGAGCCCTTCAGAGCCTTCCAGCTCCAGCTAGGAAAATTGAGAGGATATTCATAAACACTGAATTGGATTATTGGATCAAGTAGCTGATAGGTGTATAAGCATTGCATCTCAAGTAAGCATGCAAGCCCTAGTACAACCCCCCCCTCCCCTGCCCCCCAAAAAAAAAGACAACATTTACCCAGTCTTGCAGAGGAATCCAAGACACTTGCACAACTCAGGAGGCATCCATCACAGGAAAACAGCCTCTCGGAGACAGACATCGAAACCCACCTGGGAAGATAACCCCCCCCCCTGGATAGGTGTAGGCAACACCAGTGAACACCTAGAGAAGTGAGCCCTAGACTCCTGCAGCTATAACATGAGGTCCACTGAACAAGTGAGGCATTTAAACACATGCACATGAAGCTAATATTAAAATTAGGGAAAGCACTAGCTAAGCATTTGTCTAGAAAAAACAATGACTCATGAAGATGAAGGTGACAGGAGCACATTAGAAAAAGGGTCGCATCAGGTGAATGTTTGATGGAGTGTCCTGATCAGACTGGAAGCTCCAAAGACAGCCACCTGGCTGTGAGGGGTGTAACTATTAGGGAACTACAGTACTTAGTAGTTAAGTTCCTAGTTGTCAGAATTGTTCATATTTTTCATGTTGTCATCTGTTTTGTTTCATTCAACTTTTCTAGTGGTTTATTCTCTCAGTCTGAGTGATCTAGAATTCCCTGCTTCTTACACTTCTTAGGGGAGATCAGGGTTTTGCCCTTGATTTCCAGTAGGCTTTTTATGACTCGTAAGGGCCTCATGTAGCGAGTGAAGAGCTATCCAGATGGTTACTTACAAAATGCCACTGGAAGCACTTTCACTTTCACAAGATTCCACTTTCCCTCCCAGGAAAGTCTGATGATAATTAAAATTACCATATTTTGATCCCTGGGATAATGTGGTTATCATTCTATGACAATAACCACACTTTAAAGGTTAATACCATACTGGTCTCCACTGGCTGGTGGCACACCCTGAGGCCTCTTACAGGTTGAATAACATGCATTTAACAAGTTTGATTGTTGGCTTGCCTGTTTGTCTAGATCCAGCTCATTACCTGCTTGATGGGGTTCTGGGAGTTCTTCTACTCCCCAAGTCTGGCCCGAGGCTAGGCTTGACTTGGGAGAACTTGGTCCAACAGGCTTTTGCTTGGAGTGGCCCTCAGGCCCACATATCGACCACAGCCCGATTGATTCGGTACTTCTAGAAGAAAACTATCCAGTTTTCTCTTGAAGATGTCCACGGTTGTTCCAACAATATTTCTTGTACTCGCTGGGAGGATGTTGAACTGTGGACCTCTGATGTTTATACAGTGTTCTCTGATTGTGCTTATGGCACCCCTGCTCTTCAATGGTTCTATTCAGCATTTTCTTCCATACCATTCACTCCAGTAAGTTATTATTTTACTGTGTAGATTTGGGACTACTTGTTGATATCAGTATATGACATAAGGAGAGAGAGAGATGTATAGATTGCTAGATACATAGGCACATACACAATTACACAGACATAGAGACTGAGACTGCCTAATATCGAACTGAGATTGAGTGACTGTGATGCCTGCCAGAGAGGAGTGTGTCTCTAGGCTGCCAGTCCAGCAACTACTACTTAAGCAAATCCTAGCCTGAATACTAGGGGTAAACAAAAGAAATATAGGCAAAATTGTCATCTTCATTTATAATAATAAGGTTTGTCTTTTTATTAGGTAATAATTGACAGTAATGTTAAATCTTGGTAATTAGAGATTTATAAGCGGAATTAAATTTTCTTGGATTTCTGTAATGATAAACATCATATGGACCCTCTTTCAGTCTCATTGCATAAGCCACACTAAGGATTACATTAAATGAAACTAAGAATTTATAGTACTTACATCACCTTCTGAGTTCCAAAGCTTGAGGCTGGATACAGCATGATACTTGGGTAGCTTGATATTCCTTGAGTCCTACAAATACTACCAAATTCTGCACAGTCAATAGTTGCTACATGAATATTAGGAAGGTGCGACATCATGCGGGCAAACTTCCTGTACTCGGGAGCCATGTCCCGGCAGTGACCACACCAGTTGGCAAAGTAGTCCACGATCCAAATTTCCCCTTTTGGCTTTTTATTTATAAATTGTTCAAACTTTACTGCATCCAGCTTCATAACTGGAATCAAGCAAGATTAAGACTCATAAACAAAGAATAAAAAATGCAACAAAAATTATAGCATGGGAGAATTCTAAAGTATTAAAAAACAAAGTAGGTCCTTGAGAAAAGAGACGACGTTAGGAATTATTAATGAGTAAACATTATTCACATTCTGCATGGACAAACTTTTTTTTACTATTATTATGGTTAACAATATGAAGTTTGAGGAACTGCTAGAATAATTATAGCTGGAATTTTGTACATACAAGGATCCCAGTAGTACAGTCAGGTTCGTTCTGGACTCACAATCAAGAATTCTGGGTTCGAATCCCAGGCGGGACAGAAATGGTTGGGCACATTTCCTGTCACCTGTCCACCTGGACAGGTGACATTAGGTGATGCCAGTAAATAGGTACCCAGTGGGGTTTGTTGTGGGGTTGCATCCTGGAGAGGATCAGTAATTTGACCCTGGGGGAGACCTCGATATAAGCCTAACATGTACTGTATGTATAAACTGGCTGCCTGTCCCTCGACACAATGAATTATTATTTATTATTATTGACTCATATTGGTTGCATTTAAATGCACCCAAGTTTCAAGAATTAGAGAAAAATAAAATAAAACCAATTAACATATACTAATACACAACATGAAACTCACCAGCAGGATTCATAGTATCTCTGACAAATTCAACAATTTGGGCAGCAGTGTGATAGCCTAAGTATTCATGAGGCACACTTTGATTGTACAGAATAGTAGTTGGATACTGATGAATGTTGAATCTGGTACACAGTTCATGGTGCAGCGTGCAGTCTATGCTCCCTGCAACACAGATGAAGGCGATGAGTCACAATAACGTGGCTGAAGTATGTTGACCAGACCACACACTAGAAGTTGAAGGGACGACGACGTTTCGGTCCGTCCTGGACCATTCTCAATCGACTTGAGAATGGTCCGGGACGGACCGAAACGTCGTCGTCCCTTCAACTTCTAGTGTGTGGTCTGGTCAACAACACAGATGAATATCATATATAACCCAAATTTTATGGAGTTATTTTAATCTATTGTCCTACATTTCACCATTAACTCTCTTACACTAACCAACTTTTAATACATTGATTTATTACCTGGTCTATCCATTTCACTAAACATGATTAAATTCAAAATCAGGCTTTGAGTATAATGAAAAAAAGCTTTTCTAAGTGTGATTTGATTGCTTTGTACGGCAAAAACCCTCTGACCCCAGGAAAGGCCTATGCCTAATCAGAACAGGTTGACACTCTGCGCTGAATAATACTCAATTCAACCCAGAATGACTGCCTGAATACCTATTCTTTGATTTAAAGACCCCCCCCCCAAACACCCAACTGGGCAACCCAGGGACTACTAATTTGCATCCCAGCAAATTGTCAGTTGCTTACCTTAGCTGCTGCACCTCCCTGCAAGCAGCAACACACTTGACAAATAATACAGGAACCATACAGCAAACACACCTGACAAATACAGGGACCTCACAATCAAACTGAGCCTGCAAGCAACCTATGAAAGCCAGGATAGGTGAACAGAAGATAAAGCTTGGGAAAACCTAATAACTTTTTCAGGTGATAAGTGTTAAAGACGAAGTCAAAATAAAAATCAAGTAACACTAATGCTTTAAAGTGACACTAATTTCCTTTAAGCAAAAACCAAAAAAAAGCAATCTGACACCTTGGACACACTTCAAATGGGAATTACTTTGAGGATAAAATTCTGAGAAGCCCAAAGACAAGCAATAGCCATTGTCTAACACCTCAATGGAACCGACCTGGCCAAACGACACCTGTTAAGATAAAACACAATCGAAACGCTGATGGTAACATGCAGCCATCATGTCCTCTTGGGAGGGAGGACTTGGTTGAGCTCAATTCAAACTGCAGCAATTTACCAAATGTTTATGAGACTCCCTTCCCCCCCCCCCCACCACCAAAATGAGGAAATCCCCAAAGCAGGAGATTCTTCAAATACAGGAGGTTACCTTGAGGTTACCTTGAGGTGCTTCAGGGGCTTAGCATCCCCGCGGCCCGGTCGTCGACCAGGCCTCCTGGTTGCCGGACTGATCAACCAGGCTGTTGGATGCGGCTGCTCGCAGCCTGACGAATGAGTCACAGCCTGGTTGATCAGGTATCCTTTGGAGGTGCTTATCCAGTTCTCTCTTGAGCACCCAATCACTGCAATCTTTCATCCAGCAACAAGCACATGAGCTGAAAAACCTGCTCAGAGCTTTCAGTCGAACCCAACATAGGGAATAACATCATACAAGCAAAATAGAACTGACCCAGAGAAGACTTAAGCCTCTAACAGTGAAACACTTCCCAAAGATAAATTGACAAAAGGGAAGCCAGCCACACTGTTTCCTGGAAGGAAGGAATTAGAGCAATAATTCACAGTAGCACAAGCAGAATTACAAAGGAATTTACTTCAAGTCTTGTACTGCTAAAACCTTAGATTTTTAATGTAATTAAATATTTCACAATATTGTACCATGTTTGAGACATTAAAAATACCCCACTCATGGCACCGAGTGAAAACATAAACCCCGGTAACCAAATGGCTAACTTTTGGCCATATTTTAATACTATACCATTAATAAAATCAATAAAAATCTACATACTGTACTACAGTAGTAAGCCACTGCATTCAACATCACTTAATCCTTACCAAAATTAACGGGAGTGTGAACAAGTTTGCTCGCTTTACGAAATTCAGGGAGAAGCTTCATGCACGGTGGGCACCAGGGAGCGTAGAAGTCCACAAACCATGTTGATCCATCGCTCAGCACTTTTGGAAATTTCTGAGGAGTTAGTATTTGGAAGTGTGGGGCCGAAGCACCTTCTCGTGCAAACACTGCTATGTCGTGTGCTAGTAAGCGACCCTGTGGTGGAAGAAAAAATATTTTCTACTCGAATAATCATACGCTTGTAAAAATAACACACTACCATATGTTGTCAGTTATAAACTGTTTAAGGAATGTAAACAAAACCTTTAGGATTAAACTCACTTTAGGATATCTAAATGAAAAAGAATTTAACAAGAAGTCATCAATAATTGCAATTAACTAATTTTGATAAAATACTGGAATAAACACAAGTAGGAAAACAAGAGAAAGTTAAGATGAAAACAGTCCAGTTCACTAGCCTAAGGCAGAGGACAAGCACAGTTCAGTTCACAGTGCGGTGCTTGCTTCACTTTTCTTATGGGGGAATGCTGCTTCATATTTTTCCTTTGGGTTTGTCAAGGTTTAGTTTCATGGCAGCCTTCTCTTCTGACATTTTAACTTTTCATGGATGCATTTTATCCTGACCAGGACCTTGTATCCATCTTTCACTACATATTATAGTGCTGGAGTTTGTGACAGGATGGAAGTGCTTCTCTGTATCCCTCAGTTAGGGCTCTGCTCTGTCTTCATTATTATTGAGTCATGGTGGTCCATTGCCTCAACAAAGGATTTGTTATATTTCCCTTTCCCTGGAACCCAGGGTCGTAACACAGGGCTAGACCTTTAGACAGCTTTCCTTTACGTCTTCTCGAGGTTTAGTCCTTTGTGAAGTTCGTATCGGTGGCTTGTCTTAAAAATTCATTTTGCTTCCATCAGATTTTGAGAGTTGACAGTGAACTAGGAATCCTTTTTATTGTTTTGAAAGATGTTCGATTGTCTGCAGATGAACTCTGTATGGAATTGCCAGCTTCCAGTCAGTGGCACCATTTCCAGATCGTAGGGCTTTTGCTGTGGATGTGTTTCACCTTAACTGAAATCATTAGTCGTATTTGTACCTTTTCCCTTCGTGCCTGTCTAGTTACTCTTTGCCATGCTAACCAGGTTGGAGACTTTTGTAAGCCGCATCCTCCTCCTGGCTTCAATGTGACTGGATCAGCCGTGGTTCCGGGTCCTTCTAGCCTGTTGTTCCAACCTATTCCTCTTCTCGCGCCTGTGTTTATCCCAGAGGATCACCTACATGGGAGTTGCATGTAGGTGATCCTCATAATTCCTATAATTTACTCCAAATCTTGCTTCTCTTTCCGATTCCTGTAGTTATCTTCTCTTTATGGCATAAATTCCTCTCAGTGTCCTGTCATTTTTCCCAATCTTCATTACTGTACACTTGTTGGGGTTGAACTCCAGTAGTTTGTTACGATTATCTTGCAGCACTCTACAATCGCCTCTGTTTTTGCCTGCCTGTAGGTTTGTGTCATCTGAAAACAGTGACATGTATGAACAACCTCCCTCAGGTAGGTCATTCACATAGCCAGGATATTTTGTCACTAACACTGATAAATAATTGCAGTTACTTATTTCATCATTAAGTTGGGTTTGTGGGCATGAGCTGTTATGGTTGTGCTGTCAGCTGCTGCTGCTACTGCATGCACTACTACTTATGGATGCTCTCTTGGTACTAAGGCCCTCGCACCCAGGAGGGGTGATCATGATTTTTCTTCCAAGATATGGCAACTGTTGACCAGACCACACACTAGAAGTTGAAGGGACGACGACGTTTCGGTCCGTCCTGGACCATTCTCAAGTCGAGAATGACCATTCTCAATCGACTTGAGAATGGTCCAGGACGGACCGAAACGTCGTCGTCCCTTCAACTTCTAGTGTGTGGTCTGGTCAACATACTTCAGCCACGTTATTGTGACTCATCGCCTGCATATGGCAACTGTTTACTGGAGGCCTGAGGAACCAGATGAAAGCCCCATGTAACTGCAGAATTGTTAAATCTTACACAGTACTTTAAAACATCCCTGATTGTATTATGCAGTTTACAGATAAATGACGAGAACATCCCTAGTTGTATGGCACAGTTGAAGGGTTAACAACTAACTTCTCTTAAATGGCAATTGCATGAATCTCACTGCCTAACTTACATGATGTAATTCATATCCTCCACCAGGTTTAAATAGAATAAATGACGGGGTTTTAGCAATGTAGAGCTCGTCACACTGCTTCTTCATCCGAGAGCATTCAATTCTTCCAAGATTAAGTGATGGCAGTAAAGCTGGCAACTTGCGAATCTGTTGACAAATAATATATCATGAATATTTCCACACATTGTAAATTTATAAAATTTACAGTTAAATAAAATAAAAATATAATATGAAATGCATCTTTAGAGAAAATATTAAATATTACAAGTATTTCATACTAAATATTTAATATTAAAATATTAAATATTGAAGCTATTTTCTATCCTGGACATTACAAAGATGCAGCTAAAGTGCGAAGCAACCCCAACACTTTCATACGGTGAGAGTATTTGCATTGAAAACAAATCTTTAGCATGACTATTAGGAAGTGACAAAAATACCCCAGTGTTGAATGTAACGAAATGCCAAATTTTGGTTAAGCCCTGGTAGCTCCCTGAAGCTCCAATGCTCATCATCTACTAGGTGCCACCAGTTGCAAGACTTTTTTTTTTTTATAGGCATACTGGGGACCACTAATTGGGGTTAATTGTGGAATTATTGTGGGTTGATCCGATTTTCCTGGACCCCCTTTTCCAGGGCTCGTGTTTCTCAGGTCATCTGCAGTGTTATTAAGTCTAGCCTGCCTGTAATCTGCCCTCGTGCGCATGATATTCAGAAATTTGCTGCTCTCTTGGCTGTGTTTGCCAATATGTCTTGAGCCAATATTCGGATGCAGGGGTTTTGGTGGTCGAAAAGGGTCCTGGGAGCCAGATATCGTGTAAGTGTTCCTTTCCCTTGTTGGCTTTGTGTGGCCTTTGGTCGTGTATCACAGCCCGTGTTTTCTTCGTTGTGATACCGAGGAGGAGGGAGCACTGCAGGTAAATACCCATATTTTCTATCTTCATGGGGTAGATAGTTTCAGGGAGCCACAAGGGGCTTCCTACTGAAAACCAGCATTGAATGTAGTGAAACGCCAATTTCTGAGTGAGGCCCGGTAGCTCCCTGACACCCTCCCTTCTCCAGGGAGTCGATGGTAGCTTTTCCCATCATCATAGAACTGAGTGTGGAGTAGCTGGCTGACCCGGTCTGCCTCCCTCTTTCACCCAAACGAGGGGGGGAAAGGTGAGGGGGGAGGGGAAGGTGGGACGAATGAGCTAGTGCTAGTTTTATGAATTTTCAATCGTTCATTTACATTGTGAGGTAGAGCGATTTCGAGGTCTTGATATTTTTTATAATCAGCAGTGGTCTCTCTTGTTTCAGTGCCTTTGTTGGAGCTTCCCCGGTGGTGGCAGACATGATTAAAATTCACCGACACTTTTATCATAGTGCCACTGCTTTCTGTGCCTCATTAGAGGGGACCAGGTTCTGGCTTGTGGTCCCCAGTAGGCCTAAAAGAACGCCACGACTGATAGCACATAGTAGTTTGACACTATATCAGTATTGTAGCTTCAGGGAGCCGCAAGGGACTTCTCCCAGGAAAGAGCAATATACTCTATATAAAATAAACATGTAAATATATAATTTTCTAATGTAGTATTATAATACAGTATAATGAAACTAATTTGAGTACATAAATTAAACACTGAATAGCCAAAAGCAAGAATAGTCATGCTTACCTCAAATGCATCATCATCGCTGTCGCCACTAAAGTGAATCAACCAAGATGTGGATTCCTCGTGCGATTCCAACTTCTGGCGAATATCCTAAAAAATTATATACATTTAAATGCAACGCTAACTTTGAAAATTAACTCAAACACACATACCTATCAGACAGACATGCTGGCTGGAGCTTCCAAGCTACTGTCATCTGGAGTTCTGTTTATCTAGGAACATAAGTGTGGGATGTAGCACAGCTAGTGGTATATGCTTTTTCACCCACAGGATTATAAACCCATGGAATTGCCTACCGGCCGAAGCCACAAACGGCAAAACTCTGTTGGGTTCTATCAGCATGAAAAATATAAGTAAATAAAGTGAGAAACAATGCTATGCAGGCTTATTGCCCATTCTTGTCTGAACTTTAATTTGATTATGATTTGAATAGATAATAGAGTGTTTGTAAACATTTATAATTTTACCCTAAGTTTACCTTGTACATGTCTTCGTCCACCAATTTCATTTCCGGCAGGAGTCCGAGCACTTCTCTTGCAATCTCTTGGGCATTGAGGCTGGAAATTTCTGTGCCGTGTCCAGACTGGATTTCCCCTATGTCAAAAAACTTTATTCCTGACTGCACACCAAGGGTGAAGCAAAGATCCTTCTCCTTGAAGCACTCCACAAATCCGACAGTGACTAGGCCATCCTGAAGAACAATGAACATTTTAAAATACAAAAAACAGTGTTACAATTAATACTGATATTGTGAAACAAATTGGTTGAGGATACATTAAAAAGTCAACATTTTAAAAGACTGCTATTTCAATCACTTAACTACCAAGAAATTCAGAGGTACTGTATGCAAAACTTACCAGAATAGCACTTAGTTTAATTTGAGTAACCCAAAAGTCATCAACTTCATCACTATCTGCATGGAAACTAAGAAGCCAAGGTTTGCTCGAGAATTCCTGCTTTGATAATAATGCCTTAAAGTTGGCAGAGGAAACCCGTACAGCAGCAGAATGCACCTGACGGAGCACATAGTTCAAAAGCTGCTTCTTGGTTTTCTCCTGTGTGTATTTTGATTTCTGAAATGAAAATGTGGAATGATCTTCCCAATCACGTCAGACTCTCGTCTCTCAACTAGTTTAAGAAAATTCTAAGTACTGCCTAGTAAACTCCATGTAACCTATCACTCCAAAGGACTCTTGTGACAAAATGAGGTGTCTACTTGCCGGGAGAAAAGTATTAATATGTATTATCTATAATGATCACTGTAAGTCCTTTATATTTGTCATCTAGCTCCTCTTGTTGGGTTTCAGATATTCAGTGCTACAATATTCACATCTTATTAATTATCAAGTGTTAATTCTGTCATGTATTGCAACACCACCACCTTTTCTGCTTTATTCTATCTGATTCCTAATTTAAATACCACACAGAAAATCTCAGACACATCTTTCCCTAGGCACCAGTAATGATGCTACTTAACTCTAAGGCAAATAGATCAATGTATTTATATATATATGTATATATACAGGTATGTAATAGATCATGGTATTTCTTGGTCATATACTACTTACTCCTGGATACGAGACGAGTGTCGGATAGGAGCGGATGCCTTGGGAAGAACACAAGTGGTAATCGTCATCACAGTTTACCGCTCCTATTCTAACAACTCCTTCGAGTTCCCTAGCAACTTCCCGCCACACCGGAGCCAACGTATGGCAGTGTGAACACATAGGATGGTAGAAGTTGATGAACCATACATCTGGTGATCCACTCACACTTTGTTCTGTTGAAATGAGTAAATGTTTACAAGTACTGTATGTCAGTATATGAAATTAAAATGTGTTATTAAATTTGTAATATTTAATTAACATGACTATATACATTAAAATACTAATGCAAAAAGGCACGTCAAAAAGATTGCAAGGTGTACAATATCTTTATGTATCTGAAGAAAGCAAATGAGTAAAATGAATAGGAAACGGTGGAAGCTGTTAAGCTTGTCTGAAGATAATTGCATGTTATTAAAATCAATAAATAGGTTTGATGAAAAAAGCAACTCATAATTATAATAATAATAATTCATTGTGTCTGGAAAACAGGCAGCCAGTGTACATATACAGTATGTCAGACTGTCTAACCTGAGCAAACCTAGCTCGTACACAGCAGTTGCCTGAAAAGCTTCCAAACTCGAAGCAGAAACAGTGAGGACAGAGGCCCAGTGAGAATAAACCTCATTGGACTCAGGATTGTATGTTACCAACCCAGCAGGTGCCACAGCAGAGACAGAAAGAATGATGATCATCAGGTAGCCAATATAATGAACACCCCTTCAAGCTCACATAGTGAGAATGGGCTCGACGAGGTGATACTTAATGGAACATGCCAGACCCGAAGAGCATTACCAGGGCCTAAAGATAGCTAACCAAGCAGAATAGTGGCTTTGTTATTATGTGTGACACCTGTCCCTACAATTGTCCCTTCCTCTTATGTTCTTTGTACACACATTCTTTTGAATTATTATCATCATCATCATCATCATCATCATCATCATCATTGTTAGAAACCCCACGCACCGGAACCACTTGCCAAACAGTCACCAAATGCAGTCAAAACTGACCAGACTACAAATTTTAACCGAGTTATGCTGTATGATCAGGCATGTGAACCTCAGCATGCTACATCACAACCAAAACAACAACCCCAGCCAAGGGGCCCAAACAGAGGAATCAAAGATTCATGAATAGTCCAAGATAAGGCTTTCCATCCTGATGGCCTGGCCTCTGTTGCCCCTCCCCCCCCCCAAACACTCCAGAGAAGATAACTGACTGGGCAAGGGCAGTGCTAGTTGGCATTCAAGGAAGAGAGCCATCAGCACATGCTCCCCAAAATACAACAAAAGCCAAGCCCACACAATAAGCTGAAGAGAAAACACACATATGTAAAGCTAATACAGCACTAACATAAAGGAAAGTCAAACAAGCAAATGGCCTCTGCAGGACAGAGCCCAAGAATGGCTGGCACTGAGCTTGAAGCATCAGGCCACAGCTGGCAGTCAGCTGCAGGCTGGGGCCGGGCCACCTGGTGCCGGTGATTGGTACTAACGAGTTTTAAGCTATTTTTCAGCGACTCCTTTGTTCTGTGTAAATCGTTTGTAGAGTTGTTAGGCAGCTTTAAGGTTTAATTTTTTGTGAACCTCCAGTTTGTAAAGCTTTACTGATTTTCTAGATGCTTTTCCCGATGGCGTGGCAAATTGTCACCTGCTCTCTACCCCTCTTGTGAGGGGTGGGGGGTGGGGGCAGGTTCTTGCTCAGGTCCTCTGTAGGTGAAACAGAACTTCTGCAACTGATGTGAATTTTAGTATGGAGCAATATCAGTAAAATAGCTCCACAGGTCCACTGGAGAGGTTCCCCCAAGAATGGTGTTTTGAAATGTGAAATTCCCCCCCCCCCCCCCAAAACCAGTCACAAACACTACTAAACAATATCCATTTTAATTATATAACTTACTTTGTATATAGTTTCCAATGACACGTTAATCAATTTATCTCCTGTTTTCATAGCAAAATACTAGTTGTCAATTCATTTTTATTAACAGATTTTGTTTTGGGTAGACAACAGAAACTTAACCAAAAAATAATTACTTGGAGTTAACCAATTACTGTTAAATAAAGTTAAAACGTAGATAATAATTTAGGCTTTCTAATAATAAAAAGAAACATTTGAAAAATACAGAAAAATATACTCTCTTCCATTACTACATTACTACATTGTTGGTGCGGTAAAATTAACTATACTATCAAAGACGCTAAACACATTCGGTACATGGACTTTGGCCAATCGAAAATTATGTTGCTTTATTATATGTAATGCATGCAAGTGTGTGGTGAATGAGCGGTAAGTGGTGTGTAGTGTATGCAATAAAGAGCTTGCACCACTAAGCTCCTAAATTTGTTTAAAAATTAAGCAGTTTTTTTTTTATAAATGGCTGATACTGTACTTACCAAAGTCTGCTTTATTGAGTGTAATTATCTCAGGATCATCATCATATATACCAAAGTTGTCGTGGTAGTAGTTCCACGAGTGGTACTGCTGTCCAGATCTGAACACGTAAGATAAACATTATAAAAATACGGTAAATATACTATACTGTATACTATATTTACACAATAATAAAAATTCACATGCATGTATGCACAGATCTGCATATGTACATACAGGTGTGTTATGCACTGTCAAAATATGTTTGACACTGCCACAAAATTAAAGATCGGTCTAGGCTGTATCTTGCAGCAAAGTACAATGTCTTGTCAGATTGAGTGAGTTTGAGTAGTGTTCCCTTTCACCTGATGCCTCTATTCACCGAGCAGTAAATAGGTATGCAAGAGATAGGCAACTGTTGTGGGGTCTCAGTTACAGGTTACAACTACAGGTATCAACAAAGTTTCAATTAAGTTACAACTACGTTGCTGCTACAACTATCTCTGGGAGTAGAGAAAAAGTAATTTATCTATGTTGCACCAGATTAGTAGGTTGCATTGTATTGTATTGCACAAATACAGTAAGTTGCACAAAAATAGAATGACTGTCCTCAAGAAGTAATGTTTCCAGCCCACAAATATATATAGGAAAGAACATAGACATTTACATGGATATGCACTCAAAAGAGGAGATGCCATATATGAATGAATATATACCTCCACCATAGGACACATTACATATAAATATGGTTATAATACTTTATGGCTATATTGCAGTTAAATTAATCAAGCTCCATAAAATTGGAAAGAATTTGAGGTAAGCAAACAGGGTAGAGTTTTTGACATGTAAGCGCTCCCGTCTAGTGGAGGACAGGTATGTCAACTAGCAATTTGTTAAGCACTTCTTGACAGTTTTCTTTGATGCCAATTGGCACTTCAGATCATTCTAGTTTGAATTAATATTTCCCCAGTGTCTCCCTTGCATAAGTATGACCTTACAGGGACATGCATCAAAAGATGAATGTCAACCTGCCCTGGCTAAACATAAATCTTTGTCCACAAGCTTTTTGCCTAAGGGGGGTAACTGAGTGGTACAGCTCAGAAACCATAAATAAAATCTCACCTGCTTTCGTCGAGTCCTTCTTCACCATGTAAATCATATTTCTTTCTCAGCTCCTCATCCTTAAGAACTTCATACGCACGATTTATCCGTACAAATTTCTCGTGTGCTTCAGGATCATCCTATTACAGTATTATGATGGTGAACAAATACAGTTAAATAAGCATACAAAATAAACTACTGTATTATATAATGTGCAGTGTACAGTATTCAGCATGCAAATACTGTACTCTACAGTATAATACCCTTAACAGTAATTTATCTTCTACTGATTAAGTACAATGAGAACAGTACTTCACTTTTTTTATTTATACTGTATATACAAGAATTCATACATTCTTGTACAGCCACTACCGCACATAGCATTTCAGCCAAGTCCTTAATCCTAATTTTATCACACACATCATCAGGAAGCAGCCCATAGCAGCTGTCTAACTCCCAGGTGCCTATTTACTACTACGTGAACAGAGGCATCAGGGTTAAAGAAACTCTGCCTATTTGTTTCTGCCTCTGCCAGGGATCGAACCCAGACCCTTAGGACTACAAACCCCGAGCGCTGTTCAGTCAGCCGTCAGGCCCCAGAAAACTATAATTTTATTAAAACTAAGGAGTAATAATTTAGATGTATTAAACAGCCTAGATTTATCATATGCACACACAAGCATTCCCTAAACATACATAATGATTTAGTACATCTAAATTGATATACTGTAATATACAAGAAATGAATACTACTAATCTAGTTAACAAACTAGCTTATTGTGCTGTACATATGCAAGCTTAAATGTAATTACAGTATTACATAATCCTGTATGAAGGCAGATGTGATACAATAACAGAATCTCATTACCGTATTTTTGTCAGGATGATGTTTGAGGGCCTTCTGTTTGAAGCCTTTACGAATCTCCTTAAGGTCTGCATTTTTAGTCACCCCAAGCATTTCGTAAAAATCTTCCCCGCATGCAAGTGCACAAAGCACACTTACGAGAAATGTTTTTCCCAACATCCTGCTGCCCTGTATGGAAAGCAATACTATTTAGAGGTTGTACATGCAAGAAATTAATGACTAGTAAATTTAAAAATACCAGATATCGGACCTGAAAACTTGATAAAAAAAAAGATGCTTTATACAGTACAGTATTTGAATTCCAGTAATAATACAATGACAAAATATTTAATTTAATTATATTAATTACTGTATTTTCTCATTTTTGTTTAATTTATAATATGCAAAAATAATACTACTGTACAGTATTTTCATATTTTCCATTAATCATTACAGAACTCGTAGGCTAATGGTGAAAGTTATGATAAAGTTAACATTACCATAAACGAAGTAAAAATATAAAAAATAACCAAGATTGTAAACTGAATCATATATGCCTAATTATGCAGAAAATCCACAGAGAAATGGGAAAGAGAGATGAACGTTTCGGCCGATCTGGGCCTTTGTCAACACCGGACATGCCTAATTATGTATATGTTGACCAAACCACACACTAGAAAGTGAAGAGACAACGTTTCGGTCCATCCTGGACCATTATCAACTCGATTGTAACTTGATAATCTAAATTTAATCGATTCAAGAGTAAATCGATTGAATCGACTAAAGTCGATTCAAGACAATCGACTTGATAATAGTCCAGGACGGACCGAAACGTCATCTCTTCACTTTCTAGTGTGTGGTTTGGTCAACATTTTTCAGCCATGTTATTGTGACTCCTCATCTTAATTATGTATAGGTTTGCAGTACAGAATATAACTGTTTCACATCAGAATGGATACAATAATATTAAGTTAAAAACATGAAAGATATGAGTGTTAAGTGTGTGCTTCAGAAAAGCATTTTAGGGAGCTTAGAGCTAGGCCTATGAAAAGGGATTTTCAGTTTTCTCCTCTTGCTGACAGGCACCTGCACCTCCTGGTGTAGCTATCAAATGTGGAAACTGGACATAGAAATTGTATATGGGTAGTAAAACACACTAATGGACAAAATCTTGCTTTTCAAGTACAACTGAAAATTGCTGTGAAAGGCAAGTCTGGCTATTGAGTACAACACATATATAAATATACTGTATTAGTATATTTATTCCTCCGGCTTGCATTGTCCACTGATAGTAACTATGAAGACGCTGCCTGATAGAGGATAGTAAGGCCATTTTGTGAACCAGTGTTTTGCTAAAACTTGCCTTATCCATAAATTCTTTTTAATATATGTATATAGTACTGTACAGGTACTTTGAATTTTGCCACTTTTTAAAACCATGCTATACAATACACCACACTCTTTTTTTTACATTTATTGTGGATTAGATTAGGCCCATTATAATTTAATATTTTTATGAAACCCTTACTGCATGAATTCACCTGTATCCCTCATAATAATATAGTAATAAATAATTCACTGTCAGTGGACAGGTACATTGTAGGCATACATCGAGGTTCCCCCCCCCAAAAAGGTCGAACTGCTAACCCTCCCTAGGATGCAACCTCGTAACAAGTTGACTAAACTCCTGGGTACCTAGTTACTGCTAGGTGAGCAGGGACATTAGGCAATAGGAAACACGCCCAACCATTTCTGTCCTGCCCTAGATTTGAACCCAGCGTTCCCAATCTCGAGTCGAAAACAAACCTGACTATACTCCGGTCTTGATAGTCGCAAATAGTTGGCATTCTGTAGGTGACTTTCCAATACCTGCTGCAGTGCACATCTAATTGCTAGTGATGCTTTCTCTAGGCTAGCAATGTGCACTGTTCCATAGTACTGCATTGTAAACCTAGAATATGCTCATATCATACAGGCCCTTTGCAAATAGCTCATTAACCAATTTTAAAATGTCAAATATTGGAGGAAAAGTCTAGTTTAGGCTCGGTTATGTTGCATTAAGTTGACAGATGAGGTATTGATGAAATAGGCAAGGTTTTATTGACTGCTTGCATTTCTAGGTTGGACTGGGATGAATTGGGAATGGCTTGAAAAAAGCCACTTTTGGCATAAAGTGACCAAATTCATTGTGTCAGGGCACAAGCAACCAGTTTATATATATATATATATATATATATATATATATATATATATATATATATATATATATACAGCACAGTACATGTTAAGTTTATATCGAAGTCCCCTATCCTTCCCTAGGATCCAATTACTGACCCCGCCCGGGATGCAACCCCACAAGTTGACTAACTCCTGGGCACCTATTTACTGCTTGGTGGATGGGGGCATTAAACGACAGGAAACGCGCCCAGCCATTTCTGTCCCAGGCCCGGGGATTCGAACACCGAATTCTCAACAATAAGTCGAGAATGAACCCGACTTAACTATCGGGGTCCTCAAAACTACCGGGTAGTACCGGGACCCTCAAAACTACCGGGTAGTACCGGGACCCTCAAAACTACCGGGTAGTACCGGGACCCTCAAAACTACCGGGTAGTACCGGGACCCTCAAAACTACCGGGTAGTACCGGGTAGTACCGGGACCCTCAAAACTACTGGGGTAGTACCGGGACCCTCAAAACTACCGAGACGTGAATCAAGGTAGCTTGTGCCGAGGCAGGTACTCACCTAATTGTGCTTGCGGGGGTTGAGCTTTGGCTCTTTGGTCCCGCCTCTCAACTGGTGTACAGATTGAGCCTACTGGGCAATATCATATCTACATTTGAAACTGTGTATGGAGTCAGCCTCCACCACATCACTTCCTAGTGCATTTCCATTTATTAACGACTCTAGACACTGAAAAAATCATTCTAACGTTTCTGTGATACATGACAGGTGTTGCATGACAGCTGTTAACGCCAAATACACTCCCGTCAGAACAACATTATCAACAGTTTACCAGTAAAACTCCAATCACCTCGAGAAGCTCATTATTAACTTTCCGGAACTAATCCCACTCGTCGACCCTTAACCCCTAATGGAAGCTTGTAGGCGTGGGTGTCCCAGCAAGCCAACAGGTGCCTATTAAACCTCAAAACCAACTCGTGTATATGAATACAATCAACAATGCCCTTTTTAAATGTATAGACTACCAATACGATGGGTTAATAGATCCTTTTACCTGTTTATTGGGCCAGTGTGTGGGTATATATATATCTCAAAAGATCTTGGATGAGTATAGCGATGTACGGTACGGGTCGGTCGTCGGCTTCACACTGGTGAGTGATGCTGCTGGCCTCTCTACCGCCGCCCACGTTTAATTGTCGTCTCACACCATTTTGACTCATAAATGACGTGTATGAGCGTTTGATTTCATGTTGTGTTTGATATATGTAGTTATCTGAATTTGCCTGAGGGGCTATTAACACGCTAGAGGCTTCGACGAGGACAGGAAGCCGATGGCTTGTCACAGTTCCCCTTCATTTGCCCTTATGATTTTTTTTGCCAGCTGGATTTTAACATTTAAGTTTGGCATATATATATATATATATATATATATATATATATATAATATACACAAGATGAGTACATTCGTCTTGTACTCTCGATGAATGGTCCCCAAGCATATATGCAACTGTATGTGCATATATATGTATGCACATACATAACGGAGGTCGGTCATGCGCCAGATCTCCAGTATTAGCTCTTGATACTGGTAAAGGCTCAAAAGGGCCACCACTTACGGGCTATTCATGCCCGTGCCACCTTTTGGGTGGCCGAATCCTCATCAATCAATCTAACGGAGGTGTACCCATGCAGGTGCTCCCAGGTCTCTCTCTCCCAATCTCCTATAAACCCCTCCCTCTCATCTTTTTCCCTATCCCCCCCTCTCTTCCCTTTTCTTATCTCCCCTCTCAAACTTTCTCCGCCTAAGATCTATACCCTCGCTTCCTTCCCTTTCTCTGAATCTCGCCCCTCTCTACCCTCCCCATCTTTTTCACCTACTTTTTCCCCTTTCCCCCTCTTCTAGTTTAGTTCATTTATTATGCACCCCATACCCATCTTCACCTCCATCTACACGAACCCCCCCCCCTCTTCCCAGTGTTCCAATTTCCTATCCCATTTTTTTTTTTTACAGAGGTGGGTAACTGCTGGTTTCCTGTTAGAAGGCTTTTCCACCCCATAGCAAAACTCACCCACTAGTTTCCCTGGAATATGACTCGCCAATCATTTAACAACCAGGTACCCAATCATTACTGGGTGAACAGAGGTGTACAGCTTAAGGATTAATTGGCGCCTAATCAGTCTTCCTCGGCCAGGATGCGAACCTATGTCACGCAGCTCGCGAAACAGAGCGAGTCTGTTAACCACTGAGCCACCTATCTTCTCCTTCTTTCTCTTTAATGAACGTTTCTCCTTTCCCCCCTCGATCTATATCTCTGTCTCAGAAAATGATACTGAATTCACAATTATCGAAATATTGGGACTCCGCCAGTCACCATTCACTGATTATATTGGGTGTAGGGAAGAAAGGGAGGTGACCATTGAACTCAAACCCCCCTCAAAATAGTACCAACTTTGGTACTATTAGGAAAAGTTCGATTTGCCTAATAGGCAGAGTGATTTTAGTTATTTAAACAATTATTTCCAATTGGTTTAATTGAATTATTATTATTATATTTAGAATATGAATTATACTGACTTAGTTACGTTAGTTTCGGTTAGGACGGTTAGGTTTGGTCATATTTTTACATTAGTTTTAACTTGAATTAATAACAATTAAACAATATATATAATATATATATAATATATATAATATATATATAATATATATATATCGTACCTAGTAGCCAGAACGCACTTCTCAGCCTACTATGCAAGGCCAAATTTGCCTATTAAGCCAAGTTTTCATGAATTATTTGTTTCTCGACTACCTAACCTACCTAACCTAACCTAACCTAACCTAACTTTTTCGGCTACCTAACCTAACCTAACCTATAAAGATAGGTTAGGTTAGGTAGGGTTGGTTAGGTTCAGTCATATATCTACCTTAATTTTAACTCCAATAAAAAAAAATTGACCTCATTCATAATGAAATGGGTAGCTTCATCATTTCATAAGAAAAAACTTAGAGAAAATATATTAATTCAGGAAAACTTGGCTTATTAGGCAAATCGGGCCTTGAATAGTAGGCTGAGAAGTGAGTTCTGGCTACTAGGTACGACATATATAATATATATATATAATATAATATGACAATGTCAGACCACGGAGGAAAATGAAACAGGAATTTCCTTAAGTACTTTCGTATATTAAATACATCTTCAGAAGGAATGATATAATATAATATATCTTAATATAATATATCTAATATACGAAAGTACTTAAGGAAATTCCTGTTTCATTTTCCTCCGTGGTCTGACATTGTCACATTCTTAATCACGTGTTTATTTTCGTGATATACACATAATATAATATACAATATAATATATAGTATTTGTATGTCTGTTCAAAGTTGAAGGCCACACGGTTTGGGCGAGCCTCACCCAAATTGGCAGAGGGAAGGGAAGGGAACTATCAGGGGGAAAGCGCCAAGCCATTACGACTATATAGCACTTGAAAGGGGTCAGGATAAGGATTCGGGATGGGACGGGGAGGAAGGAATGGTGTCCAACCAATTGAACGGTCGGGAATTGAACACCGACGTGCATGAAGCGAGACCGTCGCTCTACCGTCCAGCCCAAAACCGTCTTTAACGGTTTAAGTATGTCTTTTGTAATCCATAGGTTGTTTAGTCTATCAATGGTAACTTGTTTAGTTAACATTGGCCGAGACAGTGAGTGTTGTTAAGGCTCTGTACGTGTTTTATGAAGAATAGGTTTTACACCCGTGATGATGTTTATCATGTTCGCGAATTCAGTCTCCCAATATGTTTTGACGACAGTTCCAACTTTTTTATTAATACATGAGGTACATCTGCATTTGTGCAGCTACCCTAGAGTATAAGAAGTGGAGTACAGTGTGTCAAAAAAGCTAACTACGTGATGCTAAAAAAATCCCCATCACACAGGATGGATAGTCATACAGGTGCATTGTGAGGATATCATCAACACAAGAGTGAATAAGGCAGCAGTGGTAAAAAAGTCCCCATCTCGCAGGATGGTTAGTCTATTAGGCAGCTAATATTCATTCTAACGGCGATTGGACAAAATTAGAAGAAAGGAAGGGTAGTGGTTGTTTTATTAGTGATTATTACCATGGTTAGTGAATATGTTGTTTATCTGAATTTACTGGACGACCCCCCCCCCTTATCTTGTACTCTCGATTAGGACAGGAAGCCGGCGACTTGCCAAACGTCCATCCACCAATTTGTCCTAATTTTGTCGACCTGGATTTTGAATTGCAGCAGTGTTTTGGCATTTACGGCTTCGGCGGCCAGGTGTCCAACCACTTGGGCTGGACGGTAGAGCGACGATCTGGCTTCATGCAGATCGGCCTTCAATCTCCGACCGTCCAAGTAAATAAGTAAATAAATAAATAAATGTTTATTCAGGTAAGGTACATACATACAAGAGATTTTTACAAAAATTGCTAGGTTTATAAATAGAGCTGGTACATACAATGCCTAAAGCCACTATTACGCAAAGCGTTTCGGGCATGAAACCCGAAAGTGGTTTCGGGAAGTGGTTGGTCCCTATTCCTCCCCCCTCCATAACATCCCAAATTCTTGACCTGATCCCTTCCAAGTGTTATATAGTCATGATAGTTTAGCGCATTCTCTTCCTAGTTCCCTTTCCTTCGGCGGGTAGGAAGTTCCATTAGTTTGCGACTCTGTGGGTGAAAATGCTTTTTTTTTCTGTCCTACATTGTAGCTTATTGAGTTTCAAACCGTTGTTCTTTGCGTGACATCTAACCTTTTAACGAAGCGGTCTGGAGGATACTCCAAATTGTTGAGTATTTTAAGTTTCGATGAGTTCCGTCCTGTCATGTCTGGGTTTGCAGTGTTAGTTCAGTGACCCTTAACCGTTCATGGTATGAGAGTCGACTTAGTTCTGGAATGATTTTTGTCGCCTGGTGTTGTTCTTTAAAAACTCCAAATATGTATAATCACCCTGAATTCCGATCACAAATAAAGCTCAAGTCATATTTCCGATAGGCATCGTATTTTGAAAACTGCCGGGGGATTTAGGCAAAAACTGACCTATCGCCGTTTTCACTAATTTTCATATTTTCGGAATAAAAAGTCGTAATTTAAAGCAGTTATGTCTTTCCGAAGTTGAGGTCTCTATGCTTGGATACAATAATCCAAATGATTTGTGCCAAAAAATATGTGTCAGAGATTTATACAGTTGAATAACTACATTCTTTCCCATAAAATTCAAAGGTTCGTTTCACTATTCCTAGGGGTTCGTTGGCTATTTTTTAGTAATTTTTACTACAGCTTCCACTTGTGCAACTTTCAAAGATTGGTGGACTCCGACTCCAAGGTCCTTTTCATCACCATTATCAAAGGTAGAGATTTGGAAATCATAGATTTCCAATCCAGTTTCTGAACCAGTGTGCATATTTCTTTAATAAATTTAAATTTAAATACATTTTGTGTTATAATTTTGGTTAATATTTTCAGCACTCGGTTTATATCTCCCTTCTTGAACCTTTTCATCCATTTGTACACTTCAGTCATGTTGCCCCTTTTCTCTTTGTCTGTGTAGATTTTCTTAATCTCTTTTCATAAAATTTGAGAAAATTTTACATTTGAGAAATTTTGGCGAGTTTTGTGACCATGATGATGAAGATTAAACCACCCAAAAGGTGGCACGGGCATGAATAGCCCGTAAGTGGTGGCCCTTTTGAGCCATTACCAGTATGGTCTGCCAGTATCAGTAGATGATACTGGAGATCTGTGGAGGTGCGCCTGCACCCTGCGTGACGGGAGATGACTCCATTTGTGAACAACAAAGGGAGACATACTATATAAACTACGCAGTTTATATAGTTCACAAAGGGGGACATACTATATGAACTACGCAGTTTATATAGTTGAGGAACAGACCACACACTAGAAATTGAAGGGACGACGACGTTTCGGTCCGTCCTGGACCATTCTCAAGTCGATTGCGAATTGTGGTTTGGGTGAGAGGCAAAGCCTCAGAGTTCACTGTTAAAACCTTAGGTTACTGTTAGGTGATTTCTGTTTAGTTGCTTATTCATAAATTATTATTAAATTATCTCATATATGTTAGCTTAAGTCTCATATAATATTAAATTTTACCCCAATATATTTATCATTTTAACCTAATCATGTTATGCCTGAAAAGCTGTATGGAATTATATT